CTCTGCCTTTCTTTATCGCCACTTCCTTATTATTATCAATGTCGCTTCATTGAAACTAGTACGTGGTAAGCTCGATCAGTCTGAATCTTCATCCCATTTGTTACTATAGTAAAATACCTGGAATACTGTATGAAGTAACATCAATTCCAAGATATTGAAGATATCCAGGAATGAATACAGAAGCAGAAACTGCATAAGTATTTTCAATTCTTAAAGCTTCAAAAACAACAAAAGGGCTAACAAAGAATCTAAATTCACCAATTCCAAAAGAATATTTTTGTTTGCTTAACCAGTCATAAACTTCAACCATTTCCTTTCCAATTTTGACTTGTTTGTTTGCAATTATTTCTTTAAAAATTGAAAATCTTTTTGGAGCGGCCCGTAAGTCAAATACTTCGAGGGTACGCTGGCCAAACCCCTTATGGCCAGCGTCCTAACAACTTCGGCGCCCTTGTAGGGCGCAACCTGCGTCAGCGCTAAAATTATATTCCCAATTGAAAGGGATTTTTAATTTCAGTATCTTTAATAGTTATTACCTTCATAAATTCCTGTAATAGATTTTGGATCAAATCTAAATTTATCAAAAGCTTCTTCAATTCCTTCATTTTCCACAACATTTTTATCCAATTTATTTTCACTTATCGGAACATTAATAATTAAATTGACATTCTTCGGGTTCACAGGATGTCCACCTACACTTCGAGTATAAACTACTACATCCTGTAAATGAAACAATAAAGCTAGAAATACTTAATAATATTTTTAAATAAATTATTATTTCCTTAAAATTATTATCATTCCTTCTTGAAATTATTATTTTCTTTTGGGATAAATAAGTGTTCTCCCAATTTAATTAGCCACAATTTCGGTTCCAAAACTGGGCGAAATATACAACCGTATAAGTTTAGGTGTGGAGTGTCCGAGTAAACTTGATTTGTTCATAAAAAGTGAAAAAAGTGAAAAAGGTGAAGAACCCTTTTGATTGTTAGGTATTTGAGAGATAATGTTTGTTTGATTTATTTAGACCGATTTTTAAAATAAAAATCAAAGTAAGAAAACCATTTCATATTCTTCAGATAAAATGTTGGCCAATATTTCCTGAAATCATAATGAATAATTTTAGGAACTTTAAAAATTTTATGTTCAGCAGAAACTTTTAGGAGTTTTGTCTCATTTACACATTATAACCTAAATTTAAAGTAGGGTCTGTAATAAATCTTTATCGGAACCTACATCCACTATTTAATTAATTAAAATAATAATTACATTAAACTTTATGTGTGAGTAGAAAAAGTTGTCACAAATATACAACCCCCTTTTCTTTTTCTTTTCCGTCAAATTTAATTTTTCAAAATTTTTATTCAAATTTTTTAGACTACTAGAACTTGCTTCTTCTTCACAATCATTTTTTGTATTTAAACCTCTTTTGTGTCTACGGAGGGAAATTTTAGAAATTTTATTTTCCTTCCCATTTTTCGAATATTTACAACTTTTGTTAGGTTGTGAAATATTCACAAAAATTAAAATAAAGATAATTAAGAGAATTAATTTATACATTTTCTCTAAAAAGAAAAAAATATTTTATTTTGGAATTTGCAAACAGAGATGTTTTGAAACAAAAAAATCTTCAAACTCGAAAACAATTTTAAAAATTGTTAAATAATTTCTTGTTTGTCGAGTATGTTAGCCCCCTTATTATTATAGGAATTAAAAAATAGAACTTGAAGAAAATATTTCAATAGGATTAAAGATAATTCGCATCATATGAAGGTTTGACGGACCCAGATATCCAGATCAGTAAAATGTCCAGTTTTTCATTTCAAATCCTAATAATGGCAAAAAATTCACCTAATCATGAAAAAATCCTCCTTATGTTTGAGATTTTAGAGACCAAGAAGCTAAATTCTTCTTTTTTGTAGCGCCAAAATTTAAGATTCATAAAAAAATTTACCAAACAATTACCTTAAAAAATCAGATTAAATTATTTAATTAAAATATGAATGAGTGTGGAAAGTTCATAATAGACATGACTTTAAATAGACAAAATCTGTTCATTTTGACATTGTTTTATATTTCACAATTTGTTGTTTTTATAAAGGTATATAAAGGTATAATAAATTTTTATGGCAGTTTTGCTTTATATTATTACCGCCTTATTTGTAAAATGATGAAAGTTCGAAATTATTCGATCTCTGATTGAAATATGTACACATTCGTCCCTTATAGACTTTGGGTAAATGCGAGTCGGAAAAGCTTGGTAATTAACCCAAGTTGCGCAAAAATAACACAAACTACAATTTATTTTTCACAAATCTACCACACGCTTACTTTTAAAAAATATTTTTTAAATTCTAAAAGGGCAAACTTTTAAAATTATTTTAAAAATTATTTTATTTATTTCTCAATATTTAGAAAAAATTCTTAATTCAATTGTCAAAGGCAATTTTTAAGATTATTCAATTCAAGTGGGTAAGGCCTAGTTTGGTTTTGTTTATAATTTTGAGTTGTGTTTAATTATGCAAAAAAAAATTTGAATTTATTTATCTCTACGTCCCTTTTAATTCAAAATCAGGTTTCTTCTTCTTATCCCCCAAATCCATTTAAAGACATGTTAATCCCACAAATACCCTCTTAATCACGGATAATCCCTCACTTCTAAGAATATTTTAAAACAAATTGATAAAATTTTATTGAAAAGTCCGGAAAAATCACGGATCCGGTCCGGAATCCGGGTAATTTCCGCCGGACTCCGGAAATTATTTTTACCGGACTAAAATCGGACAATTTTCAGACAGTTCTTCCAATATACATATCAGGGATGTCTCGGGTTGAGAAAAAAGTCGGGTCGGGTTTCGGGTCGGGTTTTCAAAATTTTCTTCGGATCGGGTTTCGGGTTTCGGGTCGAAAAAAAGTCCGGGTTTCGGGTCTCGGGTCGGGTTTCGGGTCGGGTCAGTTAAAAATTTGAACATGAAGCCAAATTTTTCGGAGAGGCTGGGGATATTAGTGATTTGCGGTATTAATAAGATAATATATGAGTGTGATATGATAAGAGACAGGGATTAAATGGATTTGGATGGATTAAGAGTAATATCAGAGGATTTGGGGATTAAAAGGGATATCAAGGCATTTAAAAGTATCTGGTGAAGATGTCTAATCCATGATTTATACCTTAAACCTCCGAGACCCTCTGCAAATACCTTGAAATCCCAGATACACCTCTAAACCCTCCGATATCTCCGCTAATCAACCTTAATCCAAGTAAAGCTCCCGATATCACCCTTCATCCACTCTTGCTCCTTCGACATCGCGGCAAAATTACTCTGTATTTCGTTACAGTTTTCTTCATTTTTTGGCGCCGCAGGCGAAAATTTTGCAAATTTTGGAAGGCCATGAGGCCAGAATTCTTCTTTTTATGGTAAAAATCCCATCGGAAAACGTCCCACGCGATATCACGCCCACTTTTTTTAATTTTCGATTTTTTTTATCTTCCCCCGAAGATACCTCATTCCACCGAAGGTACCTCCCATAGATACCTCCACAAAACATCATGATTCTTAAAAATCGTGCCCAACTTCAGCAACATTTCTTAGCGCCGCAGGCGAAAATTTTGAGAATTTTGGAAGACCAACCTACTAGATTTCATCATTTTCCAGTACCGCAGGCGAAAATTTTGAGAATTTTGGAAGGCCAACCCACTAGATTTCATCATTTTCCAGCGCCGCAGGCGAAAATTTTGAGAATTTTGGAAGGCCAAAGAGGCAAAAATCTTCCCTTTTTGTAATAAAATTCCAAGGAAAATGTCGGGTTTCGGGTCGGGTTTTCGAAAATTTCTCGGGTCGGGTTTCGGGTTTCGGGTATCGGGTTTCGGGTAACCCGAGACATCCCTGATACATATCTCTAATTTATTTCTAAATTTTATTAAGCTAGGATGTTTTAATACTCTAATGTCCAAGCATAACAATTTTATGAACACAATATAAACGAAAAAATTTAATTCACTTTCGCCGAGCGTCATGGCGGGCGCTTGTGATCCAGTTTCTTAGGAGGCAAAAGCACCAAATTGACGGGTGTGCACAGAGCGAGTGTCTAGAGCAAGGGCCAAGTCAACAAGGGGCGCAGACGGGAACGTTTGTGTTCCTGGTTGTTTAAAGAGCGGGGCAACGGTTCAGGCCCGAAAGGGAGCAGACAAAACCCGCCGCTTGGTCACAGTGTTCAGACAGCACTTGCGAGCATGCAATTCAAACGTCGATTGGATTTGCTTTTTGAAAAAATTTTTATTAATACGCATGCACTGAAACGTTTCAAAAATGTTGTCTTTTTCTTTGTATTTAACTCTCTTTTTTAGTTGTCTCTCTTACATTGTCTTTATGGGTACAGCCCAATTAAGCGCGCGGCCATAACGGTGCAAAGCCACTTGCTTCAAAATTTTCAAATCTTACCAAATTTAGTATTAAACGATTCCTCTCATCGAGCTGAAGAGATTGATACCAAAATTGATAAGGGCCAGAAATTTTCCAGCAAGTTATGGCTTTGCGCCGTTATGGCCGCGCGCCTACTTGGGCGGGACTGGACCATTAGGGCGCGGGGCCATTAGGGCGCGAGCTTATAAAACAGTGAGTTGCTTATCAAAAAAGATAAAATTTTGCAATAATAACTCTCATGCCTTTATCTACGTTCTCCAAAAATTTCAGAATTTTTGATCAAGAATTTCGGAAATTGTGGCCAAAAATGTTGATTTTCCGAAAAAACCCTAATTTTTCGCGGTTTATCGATTATAACTTCAGAAATATTCGATGAAAAATTCTAAAATTTCTGGAGGAGGTAGTCAATGAGCGCCCTTATGACCCCAACCCACTTGGGCGTGTTCCTGTTTTTATTTTTGTTTTTTAACAAAGAAAGCTGGAAGGTTTGTTGTTTTTCCTTTTTTGCTTCTTCAATTTTTTTTATTTTTCTAATAAAATTTTAAAAATTAAAAAACTCTTTCAGATAAATCTAAGCAATTATGAGTTCAGCAACAAGTCCATTATCACCCCCTCCTAGGGCAACAAGTGCACCAATTTCTACACTTAATTTGAATTGTATTTTTAATTTTAAATGAAAATTTTTCGAAATTTTTTTCCTTTTTTAGCCTTTTCTGATTCGACTGCTGAAAGTTTGTCAATTAATTTTGCAAGAAATAAAAAGGCACAAATGGCTGCTAGAGCTTTGTTTGAATTAGTGCATAATTATGGGGATAATTTGAGAGAGGTTTTTTTGTTGTTAAATTTTGGTGATGTTTAACTGCCTTAATTTTCTGAAAATTGAATTAGCTTTGAATACCCTGGCTCGCCTGTTTTTTCTAAAGTTTGGATAAATTTTTTGTCGGGCTAACTGACGGAACGGACAAATCGCGGAATTACCAAATCACGGAACGACCAACACAACCGAATCACGGAATATTTTAAAAACGGAATTTTTTCAAAAATCTGAATATTTTTTTAAAATTCTGAAAATCTATGATTTCTAAAAACATTCTGATTTTTAAAATATTCATTGTTTTGGTCATTTCGTGAGTTGGTCGTTCCGTTATTTGTAATTCCGTGAATTGTCGTTTCGCGTCTGTTCCGTGAATTGGAATTCCTCGTGCTAGCCTCCAAACACATTTTTCATTGATTTACTTTCAAAATACGAATTAAGTTTAAAGGGAATAGAAGGAAAAAATTGGAGCCATAAAGTACTTTTATAAATACAATTTTTTTCTGCAAGTTTTATCCGCAAAAAATTGCGGATTTTTCGTAAAATAAAGAAAACTTGAAAAATAATTTAAAAAATCGGAAAAATTTTTTTAAAGGGTTGGAAAAACGTGTTGGATTGTTTAATATATTTATTACGTGCCAATTTACTTCCACCAAAATTGTTGGAATTGGAAGATTTTGTGGATGTTAGAGGAATTGTGACAATTAAAGAAAAGTTTAAACGTCCACAGATTTTACCAAAAAAAGAGGAAAGTGGACTGTTTAGTTGGTTAGGTTTAAGTGTTTCTTCAATTTCTAGTGAAACTGATTTAAATAAAAAACAAATAAATGAAGAAGAACAACAATTATGCAACGTTTGTCGGGGAGGGGGGGGTGCAAAAAATGTCCGCAATTTTTTGCGGACATTTTTTGCGGATTCTTCTTTAACTTTTTTTGAGATAAAATTTAGTAAAGCAGCTGGGTTATAGCTATTTCTCTCCTTTAGCTAGTGCAAAAGGTTAATTGGCGGCTGGGAGCATCTTCAGTAGACCGGACTGAGTTGTTCTCCATTTCACCACGCCGCCTACTTCATAGCGTTAGGAATTGAATGGCTATATGCTTTACAATTTTCTAATTTTTAGTAACTCTTAAGTAAATTAATTTTCATTTAAAAATAAATGGGTAGGCGGTGAATACTAGTGATGCTCGGGTATCCCGACTCCCGAGGTCATTTCCCGACCCGACTCCCGTTTCCCGGGTTTTTTCTTCTCCCGAGCATCACTAGTGAATACTAACATAAAAGGCTAAATTTAAAAGTCCGCAAAATTAGAAAATTTTCCTTATTTTTTACCAGATTTAAATTTTATCAGAATTTATGAATTTCCAAATTTTTATCGTTTTAAAATTTTTCGGTACTTAGGTATCTGTTATCTCTCCCCATTTTCTTCCCCTTTCTGCCCTTTTTTCCTTCTGTTGCAGAATTGTCTGGGGCAAATTTAACAAAAATTTTTTAAAAATATTTTCAGTCAGCAATATCATTAATTTCTGAATGCCATCCAGAACAATTAATAACCGACAGTCGTTATTTAACCACTTCAGCATTTACTGAATTAATAAATAATATTATCCATTGTTCTTTTGCTATAGCCCCAATTCAATCAAAAACACAACAAATTGATTTAAATAATGAACAAATTGTTCAAAATTATGAAAGTCAGGGAAGTCAAAGTCAAGGTGTTTTTTTTTTAATTTTTTGTGATTTTTGGGGGTTTGAGTGAGTGATTTATTTAATGATTTTTCTGCCTCAACGGCTATACTAATTTCAAATTTGGATATTTAAATTATTTTTTTTTTCTTTAAATTTTGCATATCAATTGGTAGTTTTTTATTTTTACCCAAATTTTCCTGAAAATTTTTTAGAGATTATTCGGTACTTTTTAGAGTTTCACCGGAAGTTCCGGTTCCGGAAAGTTCCGGTGTTTTTTTGGTTCCGGTTCCGGGACTCAAATTGGTTCCGGCTCCGGTTTACAAATCGGTTCCGGGCAAACCGGAACTTTTTTACACCCCTAAGGATTAGTTTTTTAAAAAAATATGGGTTGGCCTTGCAATATTTTCCCCGGCTGGCCTTTCAAAATTCTTAAAATTTTTTGCCTGCGGCGCCAGAAAAGGAAGAAATCTAGCGCCTTGTCCACACAAATTCTCAAAATTTTCGCCTGCGGCGCTGAAAAGGAAGAAATATGTATCCTTGGTTCACCTAAAATCCCAAATTTTTTGTAAGTTGGCTGGTATATCGGAGGATTTGGATGGATGAAGATGGACTTTGAGTTACATTATGTGAGTTCAAGAAGTCATAGGTAATATAGAGGGATTTGGGTGTGATATCAAGGGATTGAGCTGTGCAAGGAGATACCAGGAATTGGATAGCTATGGATTTGGCCTTCCAAAGCTTGGAATTTCTCACATGGTCTTCCTAAATTCGCAAATTTTCGCCTGCGGCGCTAAAAAAGAAGGATAAATATGATATTATTTAAAATTCGCATGAATTAATGGAGATTTGGAGTGATATTTGGAGATTTCGATGTATCAATAGTTATAATGGCACATCGGTGATTTGATGTCTAGGGATCTGGTGGGATTAAGGATAATTCGAAGAAATTCGGGGATCAAAGGATATCATGAAGTTGGTGAGATATTTGGCATAGCAGGGGATTTGGATTGTTCGGTTCGGTTTTTATGTTCGTTTTCGGTTAATCGAAAGTTTCGGTTAGTTATTCGGCTCGGTTTCGATTAACCGAAGAATTTGACTGAATTTAATCGAAAAATTTGGCGAAACCGACACCACTACTTGAAAAACAAATTTTTTAAAATTTGCTAGCAAAAATTTTTTAAAAGTTCCGGTTCTGGGCCGGAACTTAGAAAAGTTCCGGTTCCGGTGAAACACTAGTACTTTTACGTTATACTACCACAAACTGAAAGTCAGCCGTCATCGATCGGCTATAACTTTTTAATTCTTAATCCTATACAAATGAATTTTATATCATTCAAAAACCCTCGATAATTACTATCTTTTTTCCAACTCATGGATCAGGTCTGATCACCCATTAAAAGGTTATAACCAATCAAAGTTTTATATTAAAGAGGAATATGTTTGCGGGGTACACCCCGATGTACTGCGAGCCCAATGTACCGCCAAACTATAACTTTGTCCGAAATTGTCGAATCCGTTGCGCCTCGCATGGTTTGATTCAGCTGGTTGAGACGCATCGAACCATACCAGGGCGCCACGGATTCGACAATTTTGGACTTGGCGGTACATTGGGCTCGCGGTACACTGGCCTGCTTCCAAGTTTGCGGTCGTATAACGGAGAAGTACCGATTATTCCTATATTTTTTAAAATTAAAAAAGTGGATTAATTAATGTATTTTTATATTTTCCTTTACCACAATGTTGGTAGATAACGGAAAAACAGGATTTTTTATTTCGTGTCTGGGTACCCGAAGATTTTCCACTTTAATAAGAAACCACTAAAATTTAATTTTTAGACGATGATTCTATTGTCGACTTAAGTTCAGCTGCCGCAGCTTTGTTACCCGAAGAACAACAAATTTTAGAAAAACAAATGTCAGAAAATAACAAAATATCTCCATTAAATTCCCCTTCAAAATCCCCTCCTCCCCCACCTCTTCCCCCTCAATTACTTTCCCAATCTTCACTTTCTGAAGATAAAAAATCTGGGGAAGAACAACCACCAATTATTCAACAACAAAATTTACTTTATCAATATTCTCTAATAAAATTAACTTTGGATGAGGAAGAAGCTTTGATTTTTTTGTTGGAATTGATGGTGAGGAAAGAAATTAATTTTTGTTTGTGGTATGGAGGCTAACATTCCACACAGACAAATATTTATGAGATAGGCATTTTAGATGAATTATCCTCTATCTGGGAACCAGAGGTGAATCGGAAATGACGAAGATGCCGGAAATCGGAACTGTCGGAAATCGGAAATGACTCAAAAGTCGGAACTCATGTCGGAAATCGGCCTAAATTTTCGGAAGTCGGAAATCAGAATTCCGATTCACCTCTGCTGGGAACCCAACAAATTTGTTAAATTTCACTCTATTCTTATTAAAATTCTTATTTGTTGGGACGATAATTAGCTAATAAGCTTAAGTAAAACCTCGGCTTTCTTGCCATATGTTCTTAACCTTTAAGCACAAAATTCGGCACGGTGGTTAGTATTACCATTCTTTTTTATGGTCTGCCTCTATTCTCTAATATGTCTAATTTTCTAATTTTTCAATTTATTTTATAGATAAACATAGTTCTCGAAAACCGCGATCGTTTAGCACAAGTTTGGCCTTTAGTGCGTGATCATTTGCAATGGCTACTTAGTCCTGATTTTGCCCAAAACAAGCAAATAACCGAAAGATCAATTATTGCATTAATTCGAATTGCTAATAGAAATCTTTTCCGTCTTGGTCATCCACAACAAAATGTAAAAATTCCGCCACTCCCACCACCACTACCTTCTGCGCCTCGGACGGCGCTGACTAAAAGTGTGGTTATTGTAGTGGAAGATGAACAAACACAACAAGAGAATGGTAGATTGTTTAATGAGATTAGATAATCATCCTTTTTAGGCTGATAGATATATTTTGATGTAGGATTTTTAAGCGGGTATAGGAATTTTTAAATGAATTTCAGGTAATGTAAGGGAAAAGGGAGATCCAGCTGACTATTATTTCAAACATTTACTGGGTGGAGGTTTAAGATTTATTAAAAGTGAGGTGTAGAGAAATTGCCTAATTTCTCTAATAATAAACAAAAAACACCTCTTTTTTTTCAATCAAATTTTATTCAGGTCACAAATATAAATTATATTAAGGCAAAAGTAGGAAAAGTTGCTAATGTAAAGCAAAAAGGAGAATTAATGTTTACGAAGAACATAAAAAAAGTGAAGTTCAGGAAGAAAGAACACAAACTAATTTTATAGGTTTAAGGCCAAACATTAAGTATGTTAGGAAAACAAAGAATGTATGGGAAAATTATATAGATTATGTTTTAGATAAAGGAGACAAAAATAAATTGAATTAAAAATAAAAGTTTAGTTAAAGAATTTTCGCGTTTCGCGACATTCCGGCCAGGGCATTCCTATCGGTAGTGTTGACGGCTGCAGCATGGGGCATCGTGGTTGTTACGGTTGACGTTGATCATATTCAAAGGCGTTGGAGGGTGACGCATTACAAAGTTTATACGGGAGAGCGGGATGGGTCCAATTCGTTGATGCACTGGCAGGTAGGGGTGGATGCGGACAGTCCAAGGTTGAGCATACATGTTCGGGTGAGTTGACATGCGGGAAAAAATTGAGGGGCGATTTGTAAAAGTTGGTTCGACATTTAAGTTTACCTGCACGGGAATATCCTTCGGGATGGTTTCAGCAATTTTCAAATTTGTTGGAGTTGGAATTAATGTCGTTGCCAGGGAAGTATGTTGTTGGAATCGGAATGCCGCGACCATTTCAACAGTTTCAGAAGGCAGGGAGGAGCAAATAACAGGTTGATTAATGGTGTTGTCAATAGGTAAAGTTGAAATTAGTCGAGGAATTTGTACAGTTCCGATTTGCCAGTCATTCATTAAGTTGTCCCAGGATTTAATTAAATTTGCAGGTAGTTTCTCGTCCCATGCGAGTTTTTCAGACCATAATTCATGCAGGAATAATTTCAAAGGTAAAATAACAGGACTAATGTAGCCGCAGGGATCATAGTGGGAAGCAATAAAAGAGAGAATGGTTCTTTTGGATAATTCGGTAGGAGGGGTATGGGTTTCCACAAATAAGTAATCGGTATCGGTTTGCCATCCAACACCAAGAAATTTCTGTTTGGGACCATTGAGTTTGTCGTCAAGGGGGATATGGTTAATAGTTTCGGGAATATTGGAAATAAATTCACGTAATTTCATATTGGCAGTTGCAAAAAGTTTAATTAAAGAGTCGCATTTTTCTTTGGCTTCTAGGACAGTTTCGGCTCCAAACAAAATGTTGTCCACGTAAATATTTGGTAGTATTTCTTCAGCTAATTTTGATGGATTTAGTCGTAAATGGTATAAAATAGTAGCTGCCAGTAAAAACGGGGAAGGAGAAAGTCCAAATGGTACTCGGGTAAATCGGTAAATTTGTAAATTTTCGAGGGATAACGGTTCATGGATATTCTTTAACCACAAAAATCGAATCGAGTCTCGATGGTTTGGATGTACTGAGACTTGTAGGAAGGCTTTTTGGATATCACACACAATTACTATTTTTGGAATTCGCATTCGGAGGAGAACACCTACAAGTTCCGGTAAAATTACAGGTCCAGGATGAAGGCAGTCATTGAGGGAAAATGAATTAGGAAGTTTTGCGGACCCATCATAAACAATGCGGACTTTTTTGGGAGTTATGACCGCATGGTGGGGTAGGTAATGTAACGGGGAATGGAAATTCTTGGGATTTTCCACAATTTCGATAATTCCCAGTTGGTGTTGCTCTTCAATAATTTTGTTGTATTTTTCCAATAAGTCGTTGTTTTTATTCAGTGAATTCAATGTAGAACGTAGTCTTCCCCAACATAATCCAAAATTTGAAGGAAGGGGTAAAGTTTTTGGGCAGGATTTAAATGGGAACATTACTTGGTATCGGCCATTGGTAAATTCGGTAGTTCGGTTAAATTCTTGTAGGACCGAGTCGTCAGTCTTGGTCGGGGAAGGGTCGGTAATGCCTATACTTTCGAGGGTGAAAAATTCATTAGGAGGTTCTGTGACTGTTGTTTGAGAAGAGAAGTTGGTAATCTGGAGGGAATTTGAGCACCCGAAAGGTTTTCCAGCAATTATAAGACCAAGAAGTGTCTGTATTAGGTGGTAGCCGGAGGGTAATCGGTATATTGGTGTGGGCTCTATTTCATAGTAAAAGTCACCTCCCAACAGGATGCTTGGAACAATATTCTGGTAATTTCGAACAAGATCCTTTTCATAGACAAGTTCATTAGAAAATGGTACGTATGGCGTGGGTTGTGTGAGGTGGTTCAATGTATTGGCTTTTATTATTAAGGAACGGCCATCTACCAATTTAAGACCGAAGGTGGTGGTATACGTAGGCAGAGCAGTTATGGAAGGGTTATTAAAGACCCCAAGGTTAATAGAGCTGGGAGATAGATTTAGATTCAAGGCATTGGCTACGGTAGTATGGATATAGGTATTGGTACTAGCGTCATCGAGAAGCACAATTCCTTCGTATTGACAGGAAGGGACGTCCGGATTGAAAATCATGGTTCGAACGCATTTTAACAAAATTGGTCGGTAATTGCTTGTAGGGTTAGTAGAAGAGTTTGTTTGTTGATTGGGTTCTAAGTTAGGTGGAGGAGGTGGATGGTAGTCATTAATTTTAGGGTAAGTTGCGGATTGAGAAAAATGGCAATCGGGCGTTGGCTTGGGCTGTTGGAAGTTTGGCAGTCTCGTGGGATGTTGGTATTGGCGAGGGTTTTCGTTGGACGTATTACGGTAGGTTTGAGGAGGTCGTTGGGGAGGCCTCGGGGTAAATGGTGCTTTTGGGGAGAATAGGTGAGAACAAAGGGCCCGCGGGTGAGGACCGCCACACGAGGAACATTTCGTGGGCATTCGGCATTGAGGGGTGGTGTGGCCTTCCTTCATACAACTAAAACACCGCCGCAATTCTTTGAGCTTATTTCGGCGGGAATATAGGTCGGGATATTGCTGGCAAGAAGGGGAGAAGTGGCCAAAAACGTTGCAAAATAAGCAGGGAAGCTTGGGTTCTACGGCATTCGATCGCCGGGTTGTTTGAGTATTAAAGGTGAGAGAGGATCGAGGGCCCGGGGGAGAGTCATTTCGAGGGGAATAAAATTTTTGAGAAGGAGAAACTTGCGGTTTTGGCGGAGAGCTGTAGTTCATTGCAGAGATGTCTTCTTTTCTTTTTAATATAGCCTTTAATTTTTGCTTTAAAAGTTCTGTTGTCCAGGCGGGATTATTTTCTTTCGCTCTATAAATTTCCTCTAATACGAAAGTCGGCAGTTTTGATTCGATTTCTAATTGAATATGAATGTTGTCTGTATTCTCTCCTTGCTGTGTAAATCGGCAGATTAGGCTTTCAAATTCATTAACTAGGGAAGACAAATCACGGCAAAAATTTTCGCCTTTTCTAACCGTTGGTAGTTGTTTTAGGGATTGGCATAATGAACGGGAAATCTCTGTAGGATTCTCATATTTCTGTTTTAGTAATTCAACGGCCTGAGGGTAAGATTGATCCACCAGAGGGAAGGATTCAATAACGGCTAAGGGAGCCGAACGGAGGCAGGATTTGAGATAGGAGAGTTTAACGGAGTCGGAAATATTCGGCAGGTCTCCGACGGCAGCCTGGAAGGAGGACCAAAAGGACGGGAATTCCACGCAATTCCCGCAAAATTGCGGTAAGGCCATTCTAGGGAGATGGGCCAAGGATGTAGAGGCAGTGGTAGCGGTAGGAGGAGGGCTATTGGAATTATTGCCGGGTAAAATTGCGGTTAGTTCATTCTTTTGAGCGGTCAAGGATCGGACGTATTTTTTCAGTTTGCCAATAAGAGAAGGGTACGGGCAGGTTTTCGTAAATTCCTCATAAACTTCATTGTCGTGGGTGCGTTCGGTACCAGTCATTTTTGCTCGAAGGTCCATCCATTGGTCATGAGTAGTAGAAAGGTCGGTGAGGTTATCGGAGGCCTCAGAAAGCGTAAAATCTAGTTCTCGGAGGTAAGAACGGATCTGGGTAAAGTAAATATGATCCGATTGTCCCTGGGTTCGGAGAGGGACGGGAAAGGTTTTATTCGCTTCCAAAATTCCGGTGATTTCCGGATATAGGCTTTTTATCTGAGTTCTGAACGGGAGAGACATTTTTCAGAGTTGAATAAATGAGAGTCAAATCAAAATTTGAAATGTCGGAATCAGTAAGAAAAAGTATAAATAAACAAACAGGAGAAAACAAGTAAGGAAATTCAAAAAATAGAATAAAAATACAAGTAGTCTAAAAAGTTCGTGATCTGGGTAAGACTGTAGAGAAATTGCCTAATTTCTCTAATAATAAACAAAAAACACCTCTTTTTTTTCAATCAAATTTTATTCAGGTCACAAATATAAATTATATTAAGGCAAAAGTAGGAAAAGTTGCTAATGTAAAGCAAAAAGGAGAATTAATGTTTACGAAGAACATAAAAAAAGTGAAGTTCAGGAAGAAAGAACACAAACTAATTTTATAGGTTTAAGGCCAAACATTAAGTATGTTAGGAAAACAAAGAATGTATGGGAAAATTATATAGATTATGTTTTAGATAAAGGAGACAAAAATAAATTGAATTAAAAATAAAAGTTTAGTTAAAGAATTTTCGCGTTTCGCGACAGAGGTGAGTGTTGAGCCCGCACTTACAGAAAGAACATAATTGAAAATAAGTAACCCAGCACGTGGCACAGTCGGTGTTCTTCGGTCTGGGCTCATTCCATGATGGTTCTATTCCATCTCCCATCCAAACAATTTTTCCACAGCATGCACGAACATATAGAAAGCTTTCTATAATAGAAAGGATCGCTCACTAGTTTAGTCAGTAGAGCACCTGTAAGTTTTAAGAGGAGGTGCCTGGCAATAACTGAGATTATATGTTTAATGACTGCTCTAGGCTAAACTTTTATCAACTTCCCCTAAACAACTCTTTATTTCCATTTATTTTATATAGCTTCTTCCCAAACTATTCAACACAAAACTAATTGCTGTGCTGATGATGTTCTTCAATTTATGGCCCGAAAAATTTTAGAATTAAGACCCTCTGATTTACTTTTATTTTCTCAACAAATTTCAAATGGTCTTCAACAATTATTAAGAGCAAATGCAGCAAATGTACATAGCGCTGAACATTGGGCAATGTTTTTCTCTATTTTGGAAGCTGTCGGGGCTGCTGCTTATCAAGACGATGATTTTGATTTGGTGGATGTAAATTAATTTTTTTCTAAAATTTTCTGGTCTAGAAATTCTAATATTTTCGTATTGACAGTTTTTCGTTAGAAACAGAGCTGTTTTGGAATTATAGTGAACAACACTATTTAGCACTATAATATGAAGTTTTATAAAGCTTACAGGCTTTTCTGAACAATAGTCTCTAAATTTTTTGGAAGTTGGGCTTTAATTTAGGTGCCTGAAAATTGCCCCTTTTAAACAATATAAATGTTTTTGGAATTAAAAACCCTTCTTTTTAACAAACACTCTTAATACTTTATTATTTAAATTAAGATTATTCACAGCCGGTTAATATTTCCTCGTGGCTGTTCATAAAGAGGAAAATAAGAGCATTTGAGCCATTATAGGGAAAAATTAACCGATTGTGAACTATGCTAATTTTAAATCAAAATATTTAGATTATCCATCCAGTATCTTCTTCTCCTCCAGCTCCTTTAACTTCTCCTCAACAACCTTTACAACAACTCCCACCTTCAGATAAAGAATTAAGTTATGCAAGTGGCTCTTCTCTATACAAACGTGGAACAATTGTATTAACCCCAAATTTATCCCGTCATGATTCTGCAGCATTCCTCAAAGTTGTCGAAACACTTGGATTTTTGGGGAGAGATGCTGCCCATATTACACCTGAAAATTTTGGATTATTTATTCATTGTTTAAGAATGATGGTAGAAGCTAGTATGGATGGGGGAAAGTTCGTTTTAAATTCTCCTCATGTAAGGAAGAGAAAGATCCAGCTAGCATTTAAAACGCTTACTAGGCGGGGGTTTAAGATTCATTAAAAGAGAAGGTGAAAGCAGCATTCCGGTAGCTCAGTTAACAGAGCATCTGTACGTGGCTACCGAAAGCGCTTAGCAATAACTTCCGGGGGGTCGCAGGATCGAAGCCTGGCCAGGATCAAACTTTTACCTCGCTCTTACTCATTATGTTGCGGCTTCCGGTAACCTGCCCAATCCTTTGTTCTGACGTTGACTTCTTATCAAGATTCTACGGGCGTAGCCAGTGGGTCGATTTCAAGGTGTAAAATTTTTTCCATTTTCATTGCCGCAAGTGAAAGTTTTAAGAATTTGGACGGTCATAGGCGAAAAATTGCACTTTTTTGATTCTCTCCTCAAATTTTTTCCTTTTCCCCATTTCGCGGGGGGGGGGGGGGGGCTTTAGCCCCTGAAGGCCTTTAGCTACGCCCTTATCTAAATTTTTCGGCCTAACTACAGTTTCCGTACCAGGCTCAGAATTGGATGATTTATATGTCATTCGAAAGAGCTCGTCGAGCTGAGTCGAACGACACCAAAATTATTCAGCGGAAAAAATTCTGAGCTAAGATATAGGGCTCGAAATGGTCAAAAACCAAAGGGGGGACCAAGCACTTTTTGGGGGTAAAAAATTCGAATATGCAAATAATAGCTCATTCGAAAGAGCTCGTCGAGCTGAATCGAATGACACCAAAACCATCTTGATTGCACAAGTTTTGACAAAGTTACGTTAGAAAAACTACTAACATAAACCTATGGGTCGTCGGCGAGGCGTTTGTGCAAAACCCCGCGCTTCGCGCGGGGTTTTGCGGCACGCGCCTCGCGGGGAGTCTACGGGCGCTGGGTCTGGGCTCGTAACATAAACCTATTCCTATCTCCCTTGTTCTGGACGTATTTGGGGCCTCCGTAGCAGCAAAAATCTCCACAGATGCTATAGGTAAGGAGCTACAACAAACGGTCATAACTTTGTCCAATCAAGTCAGATTTCGTTGATTTTGGTGTCATTCGACTCAGCTCGACGAGCTCTTTCGAATGAGCTATCATTTGCATATTCGAATTTTTTACCCCCAAAAAAGTGCTTGGTCCCCCCTTTGTTTTTTTGAACTTCAGAGGTCTGTAACTCGGCTCAGAATTTTTTCCGCTGAATAATTTTGGTGTCGTTCGACTCAGCTCGACAAGCTCTCTCGAATGACGTATAAATTGTCCAATTCTGAGCCTGGTACGGAAACTGTAGTTTAGCCAATTTTTCAAAATATTTTTAAATTTCAAGATACACAACACCTATCCAATCATTAAATATAACTTCGCCTACATCTCCAAATAAACAAGCCGGAAATTCCTCTTCAAATACATCTTCAAAACAATTTCACGTTCCCCATGAAAATTCTCAAAAACAACGCAAAACAAATGAAGATGCTAGTGGGGATTTAGCTGAATCAGAAGAGAAAATGAGTGATCAAGAAAAATTGGCTAATTGTTATGTGGATGCTTCTTTGCAAGTGAAAACTTTCTCAAACATTCTTTCCCAAATTTTGTTATATACCTAGGCCTTTGCAGCTTTATAGCGGTTTCACGCCCAAAATAGCGTTTCTTGGAACCGAAAAAGCATTAGATACCATACAAGTCGAATAATAATTTTCTAATAGAAGCACACCCTCCAATAGAAGCACACCCTACGGGAGGATCGAAAAATACAAGCACATGTGCTTCTATCAGAGAATTTACGGTATGCTTTTCGATAAGCATGTTGGTGTCACCTTTTGTTGATTGCTTCCCTAAATTAAGCAATTATAACCTTATTTTTTGTCCCTCATCCGAATTCCTTGCTTATTCTGACATTTTTTGGCCCCTTCTCGTATGTATTTCCCAAAATATTTAAAAATTAAAATTTTTTAAATCTTTTTCTTGTTTAAAGTTATTAAACATTTGTGCACAACTCCAAGCGAGAGCAGCAAACATTTACAAGGATTGGTCTGAAACAAATGAAATCATAAAGATTGATGAAACAGCTACAAAAACGACAGAATTATGGTCAAAATATTGGAGGCCATTGATGCAAGCAATTGCTAGAATGGCTTGTGATTGTAGACGATTAATAAGAAAACAGGCTTTGGAGGCTCTAGGGGTAATTATAGGGAGAAATTATTAAAGTGTAAATAGGTTCGGCATATCAGAAACGTCAAATTAAATATTTGGGTTGCTGACAATTAATAAAACGAAGACAAAAGTTTTAATATAATATTTTATTATAGCACCTTAAACTTGGGTAATTAAACCGAATTAAACAAAGAAATGTGTGAACAAAAAATGTGTGAACGAAAAATGTGAAAAATGAATAAAATCGCGAAATTAATAAATTTATTAAGTTCTTGGGTCGCCACAGGAGAGGGATAGCCAATCATTGTTGTCGGGGCACTCCTTGCCGTTACCGCTCTCTCGGCCAAAGAAGGCTAGGGAACGGTTCCGGCAAGGAGCGCCTGTTGTGGTGTGTTGCTGTCCCAAGTGGGATGAGGAAAGAGTGAAGTGTTGTTGGGAGGAGTGTGCTTCTTTAAATAGTGGGGGTAAATGATTATATCTTCTTTTAAAAATAAGTTATTTACATTACAAATTTATTGTGGGAATGTTGTTGTTAAAAGATGAGGGGAAAAGATTGTAGGCCAAAGAAGGCTAAATAAAAAATCTTTTATTGAAAGAAAAAACATTTTTTTATAAAAAGAAAAATTTTTACACAAAAATAAAAAGGAATGTGAATTGATTGGTCGGTGATTCACTTTTTTCACACCGACTGACAAAAGAATAAAAAATAAAATAAAAATTTTATTTTTACCCGGGAACGCCCGAGTCTCGTGTCTCGGGCGTTCCCGACACTCCCCACGTCGTAGCTATTCCCTCAGGAATTGGACCTTAGTTTGGTCCCTGTCCTTTAACTTCCGCATCACTCGTGTTGAGATTCGGTTTAGCTCGTATCTACTGAGGGTGTCGGGTGGTGAAATTGTTTCTAGAGTTGGCTCTTCTTTTCCCTCTTGTATCCGGATTATCGAATGTCTTCTTGTTGCTTCATTATTGTGTGTGGCCTCGATCAGATTGGTGCGCTGTAGTATCTTCTTTATTCCCCATGGGAGTATGTACATGTATAGTATGGATAGAATGTTGTATACGAACGTAAGTTTGAACGCAGTTTCCCAAGACATCCATTGTGTTAAGCTGAAGGTGTAGTCGAACCGTTGGGGTTCGTAATTTTCTGTCGTACTTTTGTCACTCATGATTGCTTGCATGTGTTGTCCTCTGGCGAAGGTTCGAAATGAAGCTAGCAACCTGATTGTTGGGTCGGAGTCGTTCGTTAATTCTAAATTCTTGAAGATGAGCGTGTCCAAAGTTGGTAAGCTCGAGCCGTTTAGTTGGTCTAGCGTTATTGTTTCGGCTTGTGGGTGATTGACTACGTGTCCTTCAATTTGGTCTATTGTGAGTAGTTCTCCTTCCCAAAGCATTGTTTGTCTTCGGTATTTCTTACAACTTCCATTTTTTGACTCCTCTCGAATTATTAGTGATACTGGATCTAAGTATGCTTGGAAATAGTTGTCGTATATACTGATGTTGACTGGTAGAAACTTGAAACAGTTCTTCTCTTCGTTAGGTAGGAATTGCACGTTCTTCTTTTCTATTCGAATGCACTTCTTTACCTCCAGGAGGTTTCGCCCGCTGTTGGTTATCCATCGTGCTTCGATTAAGTCTTGTTGGAATAGGTTTCGAGCTATTGTTGTGGCGTCCATGGCCGTGAACGGGAGCCTATGTAGGCCAGTGTTCAGCAACCAACAGACCGTAGTCTTTAATTTGGTTATGCCATTGAGTTGCGCCGCTGTGAGCTGGCTTGCAAGTTGCTCGGTTTTGACTGTCGCTCTTTTGCTTCGTATTCTCGTGATTCTGTCGAATACTTCTTGTTTTATCAAGTATCCTTGGTCTGACATTACGTAGTCGTGTCCACAGTCTTCTTTTGTTTGAGGGTCTGACGTGAACGATAAGGCCAGATCTTCTTTGGTCCAAATTTTTTCGGTTGTGTAATACTCTCCGTGCCAAGTGGCGAGATATGTGTACTTGCATCTTACTTCCTCTGTGGGTTTCTTCCAGACGATTAGTGATCCTCCTTCGGTTGGACATTCTTCATCCTCTAGTGAGCACTTGGCCATGTTGTCGATTGGTGAGTGAAGTGTTTCGGTGGATGGATCAAAATATAATTTCTCTTCGGTTTGGAAACAGTTGGTTCGCTGACTATGCTGTGTGGAGAAATAACTGTAGTCTATTGTTGGGCTGAAATCGTTCAGAGTCCGTTTGATTCCTTCATTTGCAGTGAGCGGTCCGTATTGGCAGTGGTTGGTCTCTGTCATTCTGAGACACTCTTCTTTCGAAATAAGGAGTGTCTCGCTGGTGGTCACATTTCTTCCTTCCCCGATTAAGTTTTCCCAGTACTCTACCTTTTGCCTTATAATGACACACCTGCTTGCTTTAACTTCCCTGGCTTCCATATTTACCCGATACACTTGCAGTCTTAATTTGACCTTGGTACCCGGTAACCACTCTGAACAAGACATACCTCGATGTTGTAAGTCGATCACTCTTGCGGGGGCCACCTCATTGCACATCATTGCCGACTGCCCGACGGTCCATGTGAACTTGGAAATTAATAAAAGTAGTAAGAGTATTGTCCAGATGGGTTTTTTCTGGCTTTTATTCCTTGGCCCAAAAGGGCGTAAGATGTTGTGTAAGTCCAAAGGAGGACTTTTTGTTGGCCAGCGAAATCGATCACGTTGTTTGTCTGCATATGACTTCTCAAATTTTTCTGATTTTTCTTTGTTTCTGTTTCCCTCATTTTGTTCTATCAAAATGGGCTCTCCCACTTTAGGAGTTTGATTGCTTTTTATGTTTTTTGTTAAATGCTTTAGTAATTTTGGTCCTTTTTTAAGGCATTCGTTTAACGATTGATCTGATGCTTTCCAGTTAACGCTAGCATTGTAAACACTTCTTAGTTTACTCACATCTTTCTTTACGACATGTTGGTGTAGTGTATAATGTGTCTGCTTTGATTGTTTTGTTGGGTCTTCCACTTCTTCAATTATTTTCTTTGTTATTTGTTGTTTTACATCAATTTCCAATTTGGTCATCGAGTTCCGTTCTTTTAATGTTTCTGTTGCGTCTTCTATCCCTATTGCTTGTTTGTTTACTAATTCTATTTTTTCTTCATTATTGTGCTCAAGAGAGCTGTCTAATTTTGTATAATGACTTTGGGTGTCAAGCTTATTCCATTTTTTAATTTTTAGATTTCCTTTTCCACTAATCATTTTTCCTACAGTTGATTTATTAATCCAAAATCCATTTGGCAGTCTTTTTTCCGATTTTATATAGAAATCATTGTAATTATCATTCCCTATTAATATTTCAGGGCTTATGTTGTGGTTTGGTACTTTTAATTCTTCTTGATATAGCTCTCTATACTTTCCTTCTATCTTCACTATTGTCATTTTTGCTAACGGTTGGTCCGTAGCTGACATTTGATAAATTCTTTTTCCTCTTTTTGTCTGTATTCCTAATTTTGTTTTTGCAAGTGTGTAGGTGCCAAGGTTGGCTCCTGCAAATCCTGTTAATTTAACTTTGTTATACTTCTCTAGTTTGAGGTTAAGTTTTTCTGCTAGGTTCTTACTAATGTAACTCTGATCACTACCACTGTCAAAAAAACAGAGTACCTTTTCCTGTTTGTACGGTATTTCTGGATTAAATACCGTAATTGTTGTTGTCAGTAATATACTAGTTTGGTTACTTTCTTCTTTATTTGTTCGTACCGATTGTAATTGAATTTCTTCTTCGATATTATTGTTTATTTGCTTTCTTTCTTCTTTCTTTCCAAATTGTTTTAAACAAATTGCTTGATGGTGTCCTTGCTTCTTACAAAACCAACATATTTTGTTTTTGGTTGAGCATTCTTTGCTCTGATGTCCTGGTCTTAAACAGTTGATACATAGCTTCTTTTCTCTTGCTAGTTTGTATCTTTCTTCTGCTGTTGGGATTTTTCTACAATCCGTTGACCAATGATTAAGGTTACAAAATGGACATGGCCACTTTGGTTTACTTCTTTCTTCTTGCTTTGGTTGAATTTGGTTTTGTATTTTTACTTCTTTTTTCTTTGGTTCTTCCTTTCTTTGTTCTTTTGTTGTGTATTGCATTGTGGTTTTCCCAAATTTATATGGTGTTTTTTGTCTTTTATCTTCGTTAATTTCTTGATGTGATTCTTTGTATACTTCGTTTACTGCTTGCTCTTCTTTTATGATTTCTGCCAAATTTTTTATTAAGATTTCTGTATTCCATTCGTTTGATTGTCTCTTCTTACTTAGCATTTGCCTTAAGACGGCTTTGCTTAATTTTTGCTCTATCATTAAAGATATTGCTGGAATATTTATTGTTTGTTTGTGTGTCTTCATTAATCGATTTATTCTTTGTAAGTCGCGTAACAATTTTATGTCGTCGTTAAAATTTTGACTAGTCTTTAATCCTAGTAATTCTTTGTTTAATTTTCTTATTTGTGTTTCTTCTTTCTCAAATTCTTCTTTAAGAATTTCGATTGCGACTTCATAATTTTCTTCTAGTGGTTCTATACCTTTGAGTACGGCTGCTGCTTCTCCTCTTACATGCGCGAAGAGTTGACATATTTTTTGTAACCTTGGAATACTATCATCTTCATGAATTAATAGTTTCCATATAGGCCAAAAGTCTGACCAATTTGGTCCTTCTAATGTTACTAATTTTAGTAACGGTGGTTTGAGGCCGTGGGTATTTCCTCTAGATTCATTCATTGTTGTATTTTGTTCGTTTTGTGGTGTCGGTTCCTTTTGAGACCTCATGACTAAGTAGTCTGTCTCAATTGAGTTCCAATTTCTTATTTTTGTTTTTGCTGTTTTGTAAATACTTTCTATCTGATTTTCATTGATAAAATTTGTTAGTTCATTTTCGGCTTCGATTCTTTCACTTGTCTTCAATTTTTGAATGTTTGCTTCCCATTCATCTTGAATGATCTCAATTTTTCTTGTGTTGCTTTCCAATTCTTCTTTTATTGCTTTTATCTTCCTTATCTGACCTTCAAGTACGTGAATGTCTTCTTCTTCTGTTGGTCCTTTGACCTCTGTTGCTATTAATTCTTTAGTGATCTCGATGATATTTTTTAACTTTCTTTTGTTTGATGTTATTGAAGACATTTTTATTATTTATTTTAATTTTATTTTATAAATTTTTTATTAAAAAATTTTTTAATAAATTTATCCTGGCTCAATAGAGCTTTGGCTTTTGTTTTAGTTAACTTACTTTTATTGTTCTTGCTAACAATTTGATTTTGTCCCCCACTTTCTTTTGAATTTGTTGCTTTGTTGTTTTTGTTGTGAATTTTTACGAAATCGTTCGTTGTCGGGGCTCCAGATATCAGAAACGTCAAATTAAATATTTGGGTTGCTGACAATTAATAAAACGAAGACAAAAGTTTTAATATAATATTTTATTATAGCACCTTAAACTTGGGTAATTAAACCGAATTAAACAAAGAAATGTGTGAACAAAAAATGTGTGAACGAAAAATGTGAAAAATGAATAAAATCGCGAAATTAATAAATTTATTAAGTTCTTGGGTCGCCACAGGAGAGGGATAGCCAATCATTGTTGTCGGGGCACTCCTTGCCGTTACCGCTCTCTCGGCCAAAGAAGGCTAGGGAACGGTTCCGGCAAGGAGCGCCTGTTGTGGTGTGTTGCTGTCCCAAGTGGGATGAGGAAAGAGTGAAGTGTTGTTGGGAGGAGTGTGCTTCTTTAAATAGTGGGGGTAAATGATTATATCTTCTTTTAAAAATAAGTTATTTACATTACAAATTTATTGTGGGAATGTTGTTGTTAAAAGATGAGGGGAAAAGATTGTAGGCCAAAGAAGGCTAAATAAAAAATCTTTTATTGAAAGAAAAAACATTTTTTTATAAAAAGAAAAATTTTTACACAAAAATAAAAAGGAATGTGAATTGATTGGTCGGTGATTCACTTTTTTCACACCGACTGACAAAAGAATAAAAAATAAAATAAAAATTTTATTTTTACCCGGGAACGCCCGAGTCTCGTGTCTCGGGCGTTCCCGACAGGCACCGTTCATTATCGTTTGGCATTTTTCTTATACCTACCTAGTTAAGACATCACGTTATTTTTTCTTTTTAGACTGCATTTCGAGTACCTGCATTGGGTGAACTTATGATCCCTGCCGATTGGGAAGATTGCTTTGCTGAAGTTCTCTTCCCTTTGTTGAGTCGATTACTTACTGGGTATTTTTGTTTATTTCAAAAATAAATTATTGAACCTCTATATTACTTATAATTCCATATTTAATCCGGCTTTTTCTTATAACCTGGCCCTTCAAAAAATTTTTTAACGTTCAACGAGGTTGGAGAGTTTAATAAGGTTAAATATATCAATGACTGTTGGAAGCTTAATTAAATACACTAATTTGTAGGATAATAACCCTTAACCTTCGTCTGGGGTAGATGTCTGGGTGCAGGCCCGTAGCCAGGATTTTTTTCGGGGGGGGGGCCAAGGGGGGAAAAATTTTTTTGCGCCAAATTTTTGGCGCCGAAGGCGCCAAAAATTTTTATTTTCAGCGCCGCAGACGAAGATTTTAAGAATTTTACAAGGCCGTAGGCCAAAAAATCCACTTTTTCGGCGCCGCAGGCGCCAAAATTTTGATTTTCAGCGCCGCAGGCGAAAATTTTTTGAATTTTGGACCTCAAGAAGCCAGATTTCTTCCATTTTTAGCGCCGCAAGCGAAAATTTTGAAAATTTCGAAGGCCGTAGGCCAAAAAAATTCACTTTTTTTGCCCCAGCCCTTCCCCAAAATTTTCCCTTTTTCCCATTTCGGGGGGGGGGGGGGAATTCCCCCCCCCTACCCCCCTGGCTACGGGCCTGTCTGGGTGGGATGTCTGGACTTAGATCAGACCTTAAAATAGTCGTTAGAAGACTCCGAAAAGTCATGTACGTTATATAGAGGTTTCCCTAAATTATATTATTTCTTTTACCATTTATTAAGTAGCCCACCAATTTCCCCTATGGATCCAATTGGAATGGAAGAGGCAAGAATTCGAGCGATTCAACTTGCTTGTAAAGTACTTTTGGGGAATCTTACAAAAATTACGAGGTGTTTTAAATAAATTATTTTTAATATTTTTTAAAAATAGTTTAAAATCATTTCCCGATTTGTTCCTACGCCTCTTTGATTTAATGGACCAATTTTTGGAAGAAAATGCTTGTAGTGATTTGCTTGCAGAAGTTATACAAGAATCTTTGAAAAATTGTTTGAAAAAAATTTTTTTAATTAAAAAAATTTTTAAATTTAAGGTATTCTAGTTTGTGAAAATTTTGGAGTTTTTCAAGGCCCAATTGAAGGATTAAAAGCTGAAGTAAGTGGGAGATTGGAAGCGTTAACTGTTAAACATTCAAATTCTGCTAATTCAAAAATTGCCTTATAAATGATGGGAAAAGTACTTTTTTATTTAAAGATTTTTTAGTTAAATTATTGGCTGTGATTTTTGATGTGATAATAAATATATTTTACGAACAATTGACACTCGATACTCTATGTTAGTGTTATCCACGGTACGGTATTACCGTAGTATTTTCCGATATTACCGTAGTATTGTTTTAGTTATTACCGATATCGTACCGGTCGATTTTGTAAACCCCGGGTTCTAAGCTTCTTGGCCTTCCAAAATTCTCAAAATTTTTAAGGCCGAGAAATCCCACTGGTGTGAGAATAAATATATCTGGGACCATTCCTTACTCTATCCCTCAAAATTTTTGAAAGCTATAGCCAATTTTTAAAAATTTCAGAAAAACGATTTTAACGTTCAGAAATTTCGAGGGATAGGGTAAGGAATTATGGGCGTAGGTCCCGAACATGAAAAAATGTTTTGGAACCATACCCCTAATTTTTTTATTGGACTCATAAAAGTTCATTAGACGCATAAACTAACCAGGCCAAATTTTTTTATTTGAATTGAAAGATTATAAAACTTTTAAAAATTGAATAAAATATTTAATAAATCATATTTTTTATTTAAATAAAAATTTTTAAAATTTTTAATATATATTTTTTATTTTCAATATATTTATTTTTAAATTAATTTAAAAAAAAGAAAATGGTTGGTGTTTCATTAAATGACAGTGAGAATTTAAAGAAAAATGTGCCTACAGCTGAAGATCAACAACAAATTAATAAATTTGCCCGTTTACACAAATCATATTTGGAAAATAAAGTTTTGTGGATTTTTTAAATTAAATTTAAAATTATTTTTTTAAAAGGATCAATTAGCCTTTTTACAAAATACGGCACAAAATTTGACTGATGCTGAAAATGAAGTAATGCTTATGGAAGATGGACAATTAAATGTTCCAATACTTGTTGGGTCTATTTTTGTTCATCAAGATCAAGTAGAGTTTAAATTGATGAATAGAAATCGTGTCACGACACTTGCAGATATGACATTTGCAGACCCGACACTTGCAGACCCGACTTTTGCAGACCCGACATTTGCAGATGCCGACACTTGCAGATATGACACTTGCAGATCAGACATTTGCAGATCCGACTTTTGCAGATTAGACCCAGTTCGCTCTCTTCTTTACCTTATCTATAAACCGTGGAGTGATTGCTGCTGCGGAGGAATCCTGGGATGCCCATCTCATCGATGATAGGAATAGGATCATGTTACGAGCCCAGAGCCCAGCGACCGTTGACTCCCCGCGAGGCGCGTGCCGCAAAACCCCGCGCGAAGCGTGGGGTTTTGCACAAGCGCCTCGCCGACGCTCCATAGGTCTACGTTGAACATTTTGAACCTCCGGAAAAAAAAGAATCTCCGGAAAAAAGAGTATGGGTCTTATATCAAAACCTTTCCATCGGTATATTATGCTATATCCTTTGATTTTTTAAGATTTTTAAATTTTTTTAAATTTTTTTTTCAAAAATTAATATCTGCAAAAGTCGGATCTGCAAATGTCTGATCTGCAAGTGTCATATCTGCAAGTGTCGGTATCTGCAAATGTCGATCTGCAAAAGTCGTCTGCAAATGTCGGGTCTGCAAATGTCATATCTGCAAGTGTCGTATGACCATAGAAATATGGGTACAGCCCAAATAGGCACGCGGCAATAACTGCACAAAGCCATAACTTGCTTCAAGATTTCCTTATCTTTACAAATTTAGTATTAAACGATTCCTCTTATCGAGCTAAAGAGATTGGTACCAAAATTGATAAGGGCCAGAAATTTTCCTGCAAGTTATGGCTTTGCGCTTTATGGCTTATTGAGAAAAGTTTCAAAATTTAATTTTTGGCTGCAGTGGAAAATTAGATAAAAATTTTGAGCAAGAATGAATTTTGTAAATTGAATTTTATTGAGTTTATTATGAAAATAACATTTTTATAAATTCTATTTGTCACTACGATTAGGGTTGCCGTTCTGGCACGGTCCAAAAGTTCGAGCAGGGCATCGAATTTTGGCCCTAAAAAGACTCGATTGGGCCGGCCTGATAAAAATGAGGCCCGAAAAAAATGACTAGAACATCGGCCCGACTCGAAAACGGCAAACTAATCACGAGCTTTATTAAAACAAATTAATTTTTTTATTAATTTAAAAATAGGATAAAATAAATTTAATGTTGGAAGAACGTAAAGAATATATTCAACAACAAATTGATAGTTTGGGGGAGAAAATAATTTGTTTGGAGGCTGAAATGAAAGTAAACAAATAAATATATTTTTATTTGTTAATAAAACAATTTTTGAGGACCTTCGAGCAATTCTTTATGCAAAATTTGGTGATAATATTCAATTGGAAGATGAACAGAATAATGGGGAATAATTGAGAAATTAAATACGAAATTAATTTTGTAAATTTGTTTTTAACGCTAAATTTTGTTGAATCGAATTTGGCTTTCAAAATTGAATTATAAAAATGTTTATAATTTATTACACATTTAATTTTAAAATTTGATATTTTTGGTGCAGCGATGGGTCGGGCCGAAAAATGGTTGATTTCGGATTATTTCCAAATTTTCTTCAGTTTTGTTGAGTAAATTGTTGAGTACTTACACTATGGTTTTTCAACTTCCTCTGAATCTTTCAAAATTTTTTTAAATTTCTGCCTATGGCGAAAGGAAGAAAGCCGACTTCTCTAGCCTAAAATTTGAAAATTTTCGCTTGGAGCGTTATCATACTCTGAATTAAGGAGTGGTTCTGAAAAGTTGTTTCAAAGATGCGTGTGATACGGATATTAAATAAATCAATATTAAATTAATATTAAATTTAAATAAAATATTAAAGTCATTTTTCTAATTTACAATTGTCGATTAGTCTCTCGATAGCTGTAATAGATTGAGGAGAGGAATAATTTAATTTAAATGTTGGCATTTGTCTAATGCTGTGTTGCGGCAAAAATAGCATTGGGAATGAAGAGACGCAATTTTGCTGCTATTAAACGCTTTAAATAGCTTTTCTCTCGGCTATGTTAACAGGCCAAATAGTAATGCTGTGGAGAGGTAAGAAATACAAATGCAATTAATTTTTTGGGTTGTTTATTTAAGCTAATTACTTTACCTGGCTTTTATCCATTTGGGTTTATTTCCATCCATTTTTAATAAAAAATTTAAATATAGTCATGGACATAAAGATATTAAGGAGCAAGAATAAGTGAAGTAGATATTACCTATTTTTTCAGGTAGAAATAAAATTACCTCATAGGAACTGAAAGTTATATCGGCGGATTAATTCAGATTTAAAGGGATATAGAAGATATCACAATTGATATTTTTTTTAATCCCCAAATATCAGTGGAAAAAAGTGGATTTGGGGTATATTTCAAAATTTTGAGAGGATATCGTTGGATTAAGGATATCGGAGGATTTATCCGTCGATTTATAGGGATTAAGCTTGCTATCGGCAGTTTTGGAGGGTTATATCTTAGTCCTAGATGCTTTGCACGAATCTAGCTTCTGGTTCATTTTTTCATTTTAATAACAACTGTAAACTTTTTTTAATTGAAAAATAATTATTCATAATTTTTATTATCTTTCGTTTCTCACCTGAATCAATTCAAACTCCATTTATCGGAGGATATCATGGATATCAATCCCTTTTATCCAACGAATCCATTTATAACACACGCCCTATTCAACATATATCTCCTAAATCCTCATAAAAATTTCGGTTCGTTTTCGATTAACCGAAGAATTTGATGAAACCGACAACCCATTGTGTGCCGACATAAAAATAAATTTCCAAATAAATTACAATAATAAACAATTTCGTAGGAAAAATAAATTCCAAAATAAAATTCCAAATACCTACATATTTGTTTTTGTTATAATTTAAAAACAACTTCATAATTATCAAAATTCTTTCAGAAAATTTATTTTAATTATCAATTAATTTTTAAAATTTTTAAAATAATTAAATATAAAATGCGTTTTTTGGCATTTTTCTTGTTATTACATCTTTTATTACCCCTGATTGGATGTATGGATAAACCTTCAAAGAAGGCTAGATTTTATTTTAAATTTGACTTTAATTATGTGGTCGGCCTATATTTGTGAATGGGTTCTAATGGACATCGCTCTCATTAAAAAGATAAGCTTTAACATTTAGCTTATTAGTTGATTTTTTACATTTTTGTGGATATGGGATTGAGAATTTTTTAGATTATTGGATTTTCTGAATTTTAACAAGTGCCGTCATCCATGATAGTGAATCGGGGAACTAAAGCGACCCAATTCACAGAATTATTTATTTTATTTATTTTTTAACTTGATTTTTCTATGTTTTTTAGAAACATTCTCCTATCTGGAATCATTTCAATGATATTGGTAATAACAGAGTAGCATGCAGATACTGCCCCAGAAATGTTGTCCTTACCTCTATGTATGAACATCTTAGAAAGTTACATAAGGAAGTTTATGAAAAAGATGTTTGTTTTATTTATTATTGTTTAAAACAACTAATATCATTCAACAGCAGCCAAACAAATAATTTTTATTTAAAAAACTCATTTTAGGTGGAAGAAATAATGAAAAATTTTACCCCAACAAAAGGAGACAAATTAAAATGTAATGATTGCAGACGTATGTTAAAAAATAGTTTAAGCGGATTAATAGAACATCTTTACTTAATACACAAAAAGAAATTTATCAAATCTGAACAACAAACTCAAGTATTTATTAAATAAATTTACAAAATTTTTACAATACAAGGAAATACCGAAATATTCATAGAAAACGGGTTATTAAGTGCTTATCCAACGTAAAGCACCATTGTTGAGCTTACCACATCCAGGCATAAGAAAACATGCATTTGTTTGTGAAATTAAAAATATCATCGGTTTTCATTTTAGTTAAAATTTTTAGGAGATTTTTAAAAATGATAGAAATTGATAAACTCAATTATTTCTAAGTCTGGTGAATTTAACATTGATTCTCTTAAATAAATATAAAATTTTTGGGTATAATAACATTAAAGTTTATTTTCAAGTTTTGACATGATAATGAGTATCATTTCAGATGCAACAAGATGAAGGAAGTATCATTGGTGAAGCAGGCAACCAAACAAATACACAAGAAATTCATCAAGTAATTTTGTATTCTTGCATTATTAGTCTCTAATTTCTTCTTTTTCTTCCAATTTTGGTTGGTTAAAAAGCCGATCAAAAATTTTGTTGGAATTCGATTTGGACTAGATTTCAACTTTTCTGATAGTATGATCTGGATTTTCCGTGTTAAAATCCAGAAATCCGGAAAACAGAATAAACATTTAAAAATCCTGGTTTCGGGCACTGACTTATCTCGTATCAATATACGCTCATTTAAATTAATTTTTTCATAGTTAATTTGTGTAATTATGGGTTTATAGCATGAATATTCCAAAAAATAATGGAATGATTAGTAATTCTATATATATTGAGGAAATACCGATTAGTTATTTTTCGATATATTAATCTATTTAAATTTTATTGAAACTTATATTAAAATTTAATTATAAATAGGAACATATATCATTAGAGGAGATGTATAAGCAAATTTTTGGTGAAGATTACAATGATGGTATGTTTGTATAATTAATTAGATACAGGACTCGGAGTTGCATATCTAAATCCTCGAAAACTTTTCACGATATTTCTCGATTTAAAATATTTATTTTATCAGAAATACTAACAATAAGCATCTTTACTGCCAATTCTAAAATAAACTATCAATCCTAATAGTAATGAAAAGAGTCATCGTCCCCTATGATGGGTTATTTTTATTATTTATTCAACCTAGTACCGTCCAGCCTTTGATCAACCTAGTACCGCCCAAGTCTTTCTCTCTAATGCAAATTAAATACTTAATTTAAAAAGATGTTGTGCCTGCATCACAGGGCTATGGGCATCATGATCAATATTTGTCCACTGGTAATAAAACAATTCACGAAAAATAAAAGTTTAAATTAACAGCTGAATATGAACAACAAACACAAAAGGCTATTGAAGAATCTGTTCGTCAAATGCCTCGAGGAGGTCCAATAATACGAGGTATAAAAAATGAATAAATTTATGTAAATTAATTAAGAGTAATTTTAATTTATAATTTGTCTATATATCCATAAAATTTAGATCGAGGAGAACAATCTAAAAGAGGAAAAGAGAAAGTAATTGAAGTTTCTAGCGATTCTGATTGAAAATTATTAGGCCTTAAATGAAAGACGAAGGATTTTATATGAGTTTAAATTTTTTTAGGTATTTAACAAAAGGGGTTAAAACAGAGATGGTCATGCATTCGGATTTGCTATCCGTATCTAAATATTTATATCCGTGTAATTTTTTAGGCTTATTCATCCGCGTTTAGTGAAAAAGATTGAAAGAATCTTTTTCACTGAATTTTAAAGACCAATAAGCAGATTTCTTTCTTTTTTCATTAATCTTTCTTTTCAGCGACGCAGGCGAAAATTTTTAAATTTTGGATGGCCGTAGGCAAAAAAATTCAATATCTTAGGGTTGCAACGAGAATTTTGAGATGAATATCTGCGGATTTTGAGTATCATTCCTTATCCATCCGGATACTTCCGATTTAAAAATTACACTATCAATATCTGCCCTTATCCGGATTTACCTGATATTATCCGTCTCCGTGACGTCTGGGTTAAAAATCTGGACATTTCCGGCCTATTCCTAGTCTAAAATTTATACAACGAATTTTTGAGAGAACAACAATTAAAGGCTAAAAAATTTGGTGTCCAAAGAAACCTGTATTCTTAAATACATATTTACTTTAGACTTAGAGTGTATTGAAATACCAAACCTTTGAAATGCCAAACCTCTAAAATTTCCATTGAAATGCAAAAATATGTCTTAAATTTTAAAATTAGGAAAAATCATTAATTTTAACATAATTTTTATAAAAATGGCAAACAATAACGGGTTTAAAATAAAATTGAATAGATGGTTAGAATTTAACAGAAAAATATTTGTTATGGCATTTCATTGGTTTAACAATTTAATACCCTTTAGCCTGAGCCGGAAATGTCGGGTCAAGCAGTGTTTGGAAATTCGTGCAAAAATCGAGTCAAAATTTTCAAAAAAATTTAACTGTCAAAATTTTTTAAGATCATAATTTGCAAACACTTGCTGAAAATGTCGCGCATATTTTTATTTCATTTTAAAATTAACATACAATTTATGTCTTTTTATATTTAAATTTGGGATTTTAAGCATAAATATATTTATTTTAATTTATTTAGTATATTCTAGTGTTAGGCAAATGGATTTTGTACGGTACAGATACCGGTAGTACCTAAAAGTACCTGTATCGATTGAGTACCGAAAATATCAAAATCTGCCGGTAAGTACAGTTAGTAACGAAATTACCGATACCGAAAAGTTCCATAAAATATTTTCGGTAGCATTAATTGATTACTAGATTTAATACTTTTTTATATTAATTTTCAAATGATTTTAAAACAATAAAATTTAAATTATAATTTAAAAATTTCAATTTTTATTCAAAAAATTAATTAATTATTGCAAATGCCATTTAATCAGAAAATAATCAGAAAATTTTAAAAATTAAAAGAAACACAAAAATAAATATAACATTTATTTTAACTTTATTAATTTGCCCCTCAGATTTAATAAAAATTTTAGTTGAAGGAATAATTGTTGATGTTGTTGTTGATGTTGTTGTACTTGTTTTTGTTGTTGTTTTTGTTTTTTGTTTAATAGTTGTTGTTGTTGTTGTTAAAGGTAAAAGGGATTGTTTGTTACAAAAATTATTATTACATTTAACACATTTTTGATATTTTGAAGGGCATTCTCCACAATTTTGTTCAACTTTTTTTAAATTAATTTTTATAAGAAAAAATATTTAACTAAATAACCTCTCCAAAATACATCTCTAGCAATATAACAACTGTCATAAACATGGTGACATGTTTTATTTATTTTTAAATTTTGTTGAAATTTTGAATTTAAATGGAAACATTTTATAGGAGGGGGAAGTATTGTTTCTGTATTACATAAAGAGGTGGAAGAACAATCACTGCATTTTGCTAGATTATGTTGCCTTTTACATTTATCACACCCTTGAACAAGGCCTTTAAATAAATTATTTTTATGATTTCTGAGGAAAGCTTTACTCTCGATATAACTAAATAGAAGGGGGCATAGGAAATGTTTATTTATAAGATGGATTTCTATCAAAGATCTTGTGACTCTCTTCTAATATAAAACTAATTTTTTGGCAAGTAAGGAAAGAAAATATAAATTACTAATTAAAAACTATCTAAAATTAGGGTTCCTGGAAATTTCGGGGCTGAGTAACGAGAGGACTATGTATATATGTAGATATACAATGTCCATTATGTATATCAAGCAGGGTGTCCCTTTCCAAAATACCAAAATAGGGCGAAGCGACTCAAAAATATGGCAAAAATAGGGCGAAATTGGTCAAAAATAGGGCAAAAAATAGGGCATTGTTTTAAACACTTAAAAATACTTAAAATTTTAAGAAGAAAGCTTTATTATGCATATTTTTTAATATTTTAAACTAAATTAAGCTAATCAGGAGCAGGGATTGTGCAAGATACAACGGAGAAAAACGAAACGCAACGCTAAAAACGGCGCAAAACGCAACGCAAAAGATATTTTTTATCAAAATTAGCCACTTTTCATTTAAAAATTTCTTTATCATTAAATATCAACTTGTGACTAATCGATTTTATCGGGGATATCCTCTTTAATCGCCGAATACCGTTGGTTGAATTACCCTTAACAACAGCAAATACCCCAGCTAATCCAAACCTGATAGCCCCTAAAATGTATCATCGATTCACGACCAAATCCCCGCACCATAATCGAAGAATTTTTCAATTTTCAGCGCCGCAGGCGAAAATTTTTTTTAATTTGGAGCTCAAGAAGCCAAATTTCTTACATTTTTTGCGCCGCAGGCAAAATTTTTGAGGATTTTGGAAGGCCTGGAAGTCAGAAATCCTTCATTTTTACCATTTTTTACAAAATCCGAAGAATTTTTAAAATTTTACAATATGGTAAAAATAGGGAAAAAATAGGGCGAAAAGGTCAAAAATAGGGCAAATGCCCTGTAAATAAGGCAAAAGGGACACTCTGATATCAAGCTTATTTCGAGATTCTACTTAATTTCAAAATAAATAAATATAAATTTACCCATTTTATTTTTATCAACCCCAATAAAGCAAACACCAACTTTACAAACCCTCGTTCCCTTATTTTTTATCCAATTTAAAGCATTCTTCTCCCAACAAAATATTTGACTTTCAAAGAAAGTATCAGTATTACAAAATGAATTTTTATGGCATTGAGCACATTGTATATTGCTTAAATTTGTTTTATTTTTTGGGCACTTTCCACATCCTTGTTCTACTAAAATTTCTTTTTTTATTCAAAAAATATTCTCATTTTTACATTTTCCATCAAAATGTCGACGAACTAAACAACTTCTTTCTTTACAAATAATAGCTCCTAATGACTTTTCTTCTTTTCCTTTATTTAAACAAAAAAATGTTTTATCAAATAATTCTTTTGTATTGCAAAGTTGGCCATTACAATGAACATTTAAAACATTTATTTCGAGTTTAGGTCCTTTCCCACATCCTCGCTCGACTAAAAATTAAGAATAAAGTTGAATAATTTGTAATTGCCATCCGTTATTTGTTTAAATTTCGGATAATTATTTTTTGAAATTTTAAAAACAGAGACATAACTAATTATCCCAATCATATGGTCGTAGGTCCCGGACATAAAAAAATGTTTTTGAAACTAAGCTTTAACTTTAAGCAAGATGATATGCAGTAGACGATTAGTTCTGTCTTTTTTCGGCACTTCTGCCTTCCGATTTAAAAAATGCAAGTGGATCCATCCCTGATCAGGGCTGAGCGTCATGGCGTTGAGTTATAAATCTTCGGATATTTGGATCCGAAGATTTTGCGTTGAGCGTTCCCAGCGAAAATTATGGCGCTCAGCTCTGCCCTGATGCCATGGCTTTTTCATAGAAAAGACTTTTCTTAAAAAATCCGCTACGAATATTCGATTCAAATTTAAATACCTCTTCTATTCCTCACATTATAATAACAAAATCCATTCCATATATTTAAAGGACATGCAGCCATATCTCTAACCCAACAAAACCTTACTTGTTGGAAATACTTTTCTGTATTGCATAAATCTGTTTTGCATTCTCTGCATGGAATTTTATTTTCTGCAGAACGAGGACATTTGCCACATCCCTGTTTAGTGTATTTTTTAAAAATTGTTTCTTCAGACATTCCAGAACCTTTAAAAAAAGAATTCTATCATCTCATTTACCTTCCCCCTTCCTTCCTTAATTACCTTTATTAACATCCACAGATATAAAACAAAATTTCGATTTACAAGGTCTACCTCCTTCCTTCTCGTTTCCATTTTCTTTTCTCTCATAACAAAAAACATTTTCCTTTAATTTATCTTTTATATTACAATTTAATCCTCTACAATCAACACAAGAATTGTCTATTTTATTTTCATCACAAGTGCCACAACCAGCTTTTGAGCCTAAAAATGAATGGAATTTTTATCTGGGCCCAAGTCGGGTTTAAAGGACCCGGGACGGATTTCAGAGTTAAAACCAGGGAACTCTTATGTTTAAAAAATATCAATGTCTCCGATCGGAGCCCGGCCCTAGTTTTAACTCTAATATTTAATTAATACTCAACTTTAGCAATATAACAATTCAATTTACCACAACCAACAACTCCCTTTCCATCACCATCAAAACAAAAACTAAAAGGAAGATCATTCCCATCATTACATAAATTTTTATAACAAGTTTTACACGCTATTGAAGGACATTTTCCAATTCCTTTATTTACTAAAAATTTTAATTTAAATTGTTAGATTTAATAATCTAAACAACAAAACTTTGATTAGCTTTTGTTCTTTCCGCAAAACAAGGAACATCTCCATTTACTTTAATTTTTCCATAATTTGTCCAACAATATTTGGGTATTATTTTTTCGTCATTACAATTCCTTGTTCTGCAATATTTACAGAATTCGGTATCTTTATTATCTGGGCATGCCTTGTTCCACTCTCCACAACCTTGTTTTACTAAAATAATTATTAATAATTTTTCCTAAATTTTGTTAAACCTTTTCCATCCTCACGTCGATTAATAAAACATGGTTCACGGTGACTGTCAGTCATTCCTACATTTTCATAACACATTTTTCTCTTAGGTTCTAATTCATCCCAGCCTTTAATCAGGCAAAAAAGTACTCTTTCAAATTCTGATTTTCTATTGCAAAGATCATCATGAATACATTCAAGCAATTGTATGTTCGTTTCTTTTGACCAGTCTTGACGCCCACATCCTTGCTTAACTATAATAAAAAGAGTAAGACTACCGTAAGACTACCAAGGTCTTCTATTCTATTTTCTACTCTTAAAATTCCATTCAATCGGAGTGGACTTTTCTATTTCGGTTAGTGTGACATAGGTGGACTTCAGGCTGAACGGATTTCGAAAATTATATGTCACTCGAAAAGACTCGTCAAGATGAGTCGAATGACATCAAAATCACCTAAGTAAGCCCGTGCCGTTGGCCCACGCGTAGCGCAGGGTTTTGCTAGAGAAAGTGATATTAAGTTTCTATGTGCATTATACATATTTATAAGCATTTAAATTAATTACGAAACAAACTTATGTTTTCATTGATTACAGCATAATAGCAAATTTTTCCATATATTTCCTCAGGACATGTAAGAACTCTATCTCCTTCCAAGCAAAATATAGTGTCTTCATGTAATAATCTCAATCTATTACAAGCATCGTCGGTACATGTTCTGCATAAAATTTTTTCTGAAGTGCAGTCGCCACACCCTAGTATAAATCCTCCAAAATTAGCCGATCCGAGAGCAGGATCAAAGGTTTTAACTAAAATAACATGTATGTATGGTGTGTTAAAAATTATAAGACACCCTAATTTTTTCTCTTACTATGTTCCACCAAGGGGATTTTATTCACATTTTCACAGATTATATCTCTATTATTTCAATTTTATTTTAATTTATTAATTTTTTTATGATTTTTTTCTTCAACATGTTTTATGCGTTTCCTAATTTTTCTTTTGTCGTGAGGGATCAATCCAGAAGGTCAAAACCAGAAGGTTTAATTGGATTTGAAAGGATTAAGATGGATAATCAGGGTGTCCCTTTTGCCTTATTTACAGGGCACCTTTTCGCCCTATTTTTTCCCTATTTTCTCATTTGCCATATTTTTGCCCTATTTTTACCATTTTGTAAAATTTTAAAAATTCTTCGGATTTTGTAAAAAATGGTAAAAATGAAGGATTATTGACGTCCTGGCCTTCCAAAATCCTCAAAATTTTTGCCTGCGGCGCTGAAAATTGGAAGAAATTCTTCGATTATGTTGCGGAGATTTGGGGATTTAGTTATGAATTGATGGTACGTTTTAGGGGATCAAAGTTTGGATTATCTGGGGCTTAAGGGTAATTCAACCAACGATATTCGGAGATTAAAAAGGATATCTCCGATAAAACCGATTAGTCACAAGGATATTTACTGATAAAGAAATTTTTAATTGAAAAGTTCTCAATTGTATCTTGCACAGTCCCTGATCCTAATTAGTTTAATTTAGTTTAAAATAGTTTCTTTTTAAAATTTTAAGTATTTTTAAGTGTTAAAAACAATGCCCTATTTTTGACCAATTTCGCCCTATTTTTGCCATATTTTTGAGTCGCTTCGCCCTATTTTGGTGTTTTGGAAAGGGACCCCTGGATGGATATCTTGGAGGGATTAAGGTGAAAGATCAAGAGAACTTCGAGGGATATACTGAATTATAAGGGATTAAGGGAAATATCGGAGGATAAAGGCGGATATCAAGTGATTTATAGGGATTAAGTGAGACATAGTTGCCAGTTTAATAAATAAAAATAATAGCCTTTTAAAGGATGGTATGCAAAACATTTTGCTTCACATTCTTGAATTAACATTCTACCTACAATGTCCTTTTCTTGAGGTTCATTTTTTATCCAACAGCGTAGCAATTTGTTGCCCTTAATAATGATTGTGGGGGGCGATTATAATTATAAATGATTATTGTTAATAGGATAACTTAATTAACTTTACAAATAACTGTATTAAGAACGTACATACATAAATAAGTATTTAATTCAGGGCTTCGATCTCGAATTTTTAAAAATCCGCAATTTTGATCGAAAAAATCCGCATTTGATATGAAAAATCCGCAAAAAATTATCAAACATAAAACTTGAATTAAAATCACATTTTGCGTTATATTTTTTAACTCAAACAATTGAATTGAGCAATTTTTTCCTACTAATGGCTATTTTATTAAGATCCGAACAATTAAATGAAAAATTATGTTGAATTGAGCCAGGCCCGTAGCCAGGATTTTTTTCAGGGGATGTGGGAGGGGTCAATGGGGAGAAATTTTTCTGTGCCAAATTTTTGGCGCCGAAGGCGCCAAAAACTTTTATTTTCAGCGCCGCAGGCGAAAATTTTGAGGTTTTTAGATGGCTGTATGCCAAAAAATTCACTTTTTAGCGCCGCAGGCGAAAATTTTTTTAATTTTGGAGCTCAAGAAACTAGATTTCATACATTTTCAGCGCCGCAGGCAAAAAAATTTGCGGATTTTGGAAGACCATGAAGACAAAAAATGACATTTTATCCTAAAAACTGCAAGAAAATACAAAAAATCCTCATAATCTTCAAAAGACCACAAAAATCCGCAAATCCGCATTTTTAAAAATAATCCTCATCGCCTTATCAAAAAACCACAAAATGAGGAAAAATCCGCAGAAATCGAAGCCCTGATTTAATTTATTTTGATTACCTGGAATTTTAGTATAATTATAATAATGAATATTTGGAGACGGTAAAACATTTATTGAACTGTTAACTTCTACATATTAAATTTGTAAATAAATAATTTAATTTTTAAATAAATCTAATTAAAAATAATCAGAGATAATAATAATTATTTTAATAATAATAATTTAAATATTAACCATTTAAAACATTCATTTTATCTGTATTTAATGTTATGTATGTAAACATGAAAAATAAATAAATAGACATTTTATACATATTTAAAATGATTTTATAATGTGTATTATCTATTTTACTAGTGGAGAGGGTTGCCATAAGGGCTGGACACAATTGCGTGAATTGCGAAGCGTTGTGTTTTGCATAAGCGCCTCGCTGACCATTAAGTTGACCATTTTTTATGTTAACCATTTTGAGACCGTAGGTTGACCTTTTTGAGACCTACACGGAAACAATGTGTAAGGAGCATTCAACAAATCGAAAGCCACTGAAATAGGGCGCAGCCACTCCGAAATATGGCAAAGATAGGGCGAAATTGGTCAAAAATAGGGCAAAAAATACGGAATGATTTTAAAAATTTATTAAAATCTCAAAAAAGCCATATCTGCATATTTTCACTAGTTTTAACTAAATTAAGCATATAGGGACCGAGTTGTTTCCAACACTAAAATAGGGCGCAGCCACTCAAAAATAGGGCAAAAATAGGGCGAAATCGGCCAAAAATGGGGCAAAAATTAGGGCATAGCTTTAAAAGCTTAAGCATACTTAAAATTTCAAATAAAGCGAAATTTTTGAGAATTTTGGAAGGCCTAGAAGTCAAAGTTCTTCGTTTTTAGCGCCGCAGGCGAAAATTTTAATTATGTTGGGAGGCTAGAAGCCAGATTTCTTCCATTTTTTGCCGTCGAAATCCTATTGTAAGACTCGGTTGAGGCTTTGATTTGCAACAAAGCAATGAGTTGACAAATCACTAGAGATTTCCCATCATACCGGAAAAATTTTAAGAATTTCGCATTTCGCGTTTCGCTTTTCTCGGATTTTCGCCTTTTTTGGATTTCCGCTTTTCGCGTGTTGCTTTTTAAAATCAGTTTTGGCACACCCTTGGTATGTACGATCCGAAGTCTGATCGCTAAACAATGTCTCTCCTAATAGGCAAAAAGGAAAGATTCTACCATGCCCATCCAAAAATACAGAAAACACTATTCTACCCTATGAATGTGTAAACATCTGCTAAACTAACGTACCTTATATGCTAAAATAATGTCCCCAAATAATCATTCCTCATAATAATTACCCCCTTTAGAGAGAGGTTGAAAAAATAATTACCCATCTTAAAAATAGTTATTAGCCTATTTAAAATAGCTAAAATAATTACCCCCTCTCTTTTAATTACCCCCTCCAGCGTGAGGTTGAAACAATAATTACCCTGGGTATTATTTTAGCAAATACGGTAATTCATTTAAGAAATTTATTTAAAAATAAATTATAAATTTACAATTATAATATGCTAGTCTACATATATCAATAATTATTCAATAGAAAGTATCAATCTCTAATTTCTGCAATACTATCCCGACCCTCAATAATAGCTAATGGCCCAGTCACCTTCAAATTTTTATTTTTTCCAAACTCTTAGAAATCAGAAATTACCTCAACATATTGAATAGCCCAAAGAGGCAATTCAAATTGATAAATTTCCTGATTATCATAATAAATTTCGAAGTTTGTTTCTGTAGCCAGAAATACCATATTAATTATTTGCCCAATTTCCAGTTTTTGAGGTAAATTTTTAACCCCATCACAAATATATTCTTTTTTCTTAAATATTTTTAGGGTTTTAATAAACTATAATATTTATTAAACTTACAAATTTCTTACAAAAGGAAATCTCTCGATTTGTTATTTTTGTCTGCAAAACAACATTTCCTCCTTAAAAATTATATTTTTTATTATGTAAAAATTAAATTTATGCTGACTATTTTCATCCCATCCAAGAGCTCCATAATAAAAATTAATTAAAATATTTTCATCCAATTTTGTAACTTTTCCCTTCACAGATATATATTCCTCTTCTTTCAAATTTTCAATTTTTGTTATGTGTGGCGGAAGTGGTTTGGAAATGTATTGAAGACATCTTTTTGCATCATTGCCGAATTTAACATTATCTATATTTCCTTTTACCTAAAAGAATATTTATTCGAATTTATTTCTATAAATTTACAATAATCCAATTAACCATCCAGGGAGGGGCTACATAATTATATTTAATAAAAGTTTTTCCATCATTGAAGTAAATCTTAAAGTAAGATTCTTCTACCGTTATCCGAACAGTTAATTCAACGCCCGACAGGCCGATTGGATTTGCGTATTTTTTTTCATTTGTTTTCTTTTTCGTAAATAACTGGCTAGACATCTTAAGCGATGATTTTTCATGATCAGTCGAGAAACTCAAGTCCATTTTTAATAAAGTATCGCCAACTAAAATTAATTTTAATTATTAAATACTAAATTGTTTTAATCTATTAAAGCTTATTATCTTAGTTTTATATACAATTTCCTAAAATGTTTATATTTTGCACGGTTTTCAAAAAATTGTCTTGAATTACATATTTAAGGTTATTTTAAATCAAATTTGTTTGCTTAATAAAACACTTACAAAACTCTGACTCATCATTACTCTCATGCATTAAACTGATTACAAGTTTCTCTATTCCTTCAACATCGGTTGATTTAGGCAAAGTACCTTCAAGACAGAATGTGGAACCAATAAAAGGCAATTGGTCCAGTTCATATTTGTAGATGTTCTCGGTATCATTTAATTGCAATTTCTTAAATTATTCATTAAAATCGTTAACTAATTAGTTAGAAAATTCACTTACAGGGGATGTGATGAAAGGCTCTTCTAGAAGAACTGCATCTCCTTTTACCTAAATATAATATAAAACTTGTATCTATTTTCAATCCTCAGAAACCCAATGTAATGTCATCCAAAGATCCATTTTAATACAAATTTTACGGAATTTTATAAGATTAAAATTATCTCATGTTTAATCGGATAGATCATTTAAATCCGTTTTTATAATTTTTGAAAACCATGTCAAAGTAATATTTTACCTGTACCCAATTTGTTGACCAGAAAGGAAATATTCCTTTGTAGTTACAGCATTCTTTGCCGTTTATAAATATATTGAAAAATTCGATACGTATTTTCGAATCAATCATATTTTGCATTGTAATTGTAATTTGGATTGGTTTGCCTTTTAAAAATTTATCAGCTCCTTGTAGTGTTGCATTATTATGGTACTGGCCTTCCTTTATTTTAATTTAATTAGTAAATTATTTAATAAATACTAAAAATGTCAAAGTAAAAAATTTTTACAAATCAAAACTTCGAAGGAGACTTCTCCTAGGTCTATTTAGTTTTAAACAGTTGCAACTTACGGAAAACGATGTCAAATTTATAATATTATTTCCATAATTAACATCAATCGACAAAACTGTAGCCCCAACTTAAATTGAAAATAAATATAAACAAAATTAAATTAAATTAAAAAAACTATTGAAATTAAATTCAGGAGAATCATGTAAAAGTAGAAGCTGGAAGGATGTAGCTTTTTCGAAAATTTGTACTCTTATTGTGGCAATTGATCCATCAGTCATAAAATTGTTAAATATGCGGTTGGAGTGGGGCAATTTAATGTTGTGAATTTTCTATAATTAATTAATTAATTTCATTTGATTTTACGTATAAAGTATTTTCTATTTTCTAATATTTTCGGTAAAGCGAAGGTAAACTTTATTAGTTACTTCACTCAAATAATTACCCTCTTCCTATCAAATACCCCACTACATGTTTAAATTTCATATCTCTAACCCTCTCTAGCGGGAGGTAGCAATAATTACCCAGGTAATTATTCTAAGAAATATGGTCTATCAACTTTTTGTATTCAACATAATTTTCCCCTTTTAAAAATTAATTTTAAAACCACCTCATTTTCTGTTTCAGTAATTGCATTAACCCGAATAAAGTCTCCCAACACTTCCAACTTTTTATATGTTAAATATTTTTTTCCATACCACCATTTACTATACCAAAATTTATTTGTAAATGTTTTTGGTTCATTTCCAATAGTAAATTCACAATAAAATTTAAATAATTTTATTTTTATACTGAGGGTCATTCCTTCTCTCATAATATTTTTGGTTGCCAAAATGTCTATTTTTGATTGGGACCAATCTCCGTTTACATCCTAAATTTAATTTTCTTATTTTAAAGAGTATTTTCGGGCAATTGTTTGAAAGTCACACTCTCCCCCCCCCCCCCAATTTCCCGTTTCTCTGACCATTTTGTACTTCTTTTGTAGGAAAGAGACAATTTCGTATTTTTACGAACTATTAGCAATTTGCTTAAATAATTATATACTAATATAGACATCTATATACTAATCTATATACTAATCCCATACCTAATCCCATATCCTATCCTATTATAGGCCCACTCATTGACACCCATTGAAGAAAAGGCACGGGACTTCTATTAGGGCATGACAGTATATTTAAAATTAATTTTTAGTCAAAACCCTTACATTTTTCTCAAAAACAATTCTGTCTTCATAAACATAAATTCCAATACTTCTTTCATTATTGTAAAGTTTAAATGTTGCTGTTGCATTTAAATTGTTAATAAATATTTTAAAATTAATTTCAATTTCAATATTCCCAATTAAATTATAAGTTTCTTCTGTTCTCGTTTTGGGGCATTTTGAATTTCCAAATTCAGTAATTTCAAACCATTTATTTAAAATTTCTTTACTTTTTCGGCTTATTTTCTCTTCTCTCGTGAACTAAAAAATTATAATATTTTTGGCAATTAAAACCCCCTTCCCTCCCCCCTCCCTACCCAAACTTTCATTGGACAATTACATCCTCTATCAACATAAAAGCTGAGAATGTTGTCCATTTCTTTGGACAATATATCATATCCCAACATCCAAAATGTTGAATGGGCCGAGAATAATCGAGAGACATTGAAGGGGGCCCACTCCATTTCCTCAAAAAACTTCCTTTTATGCTCCACATCCACACTATATCTATTCATAGCCAGCCCTTCTTGAAATTTAAATATTTTTTATTTACTTTGAATATCATTTCTCTACCTTTTTCAATAACAATAAGCCTCGTGGTGAATTCTACTTCACCAATTGTGATTGAAAATTGCTCTTCCGATCCAATATTATAACTTGAAATTATTTGAAAAAATTTAGTATTAAGGTCTGTGTAAACTAGGAGGTCAATATTTGGAAAATACCGTAGTTATTCCCTCAAATTTATGTATTTTCCCCTCTCTAGTTAATTATCTAAATTTAAATTTCAAATAAAAAATCTAACTTCATGTCGAAGATCGAGGAAACCATCTTCGTTTTGTTGCCATCTTCAGGAGTTCGGTGGATGTAAATTCCATGCCAGGGGACAAAGGATGATGGAATATCCGATGCCAACTTACAAAGGCCGTCAATTCCTTTCCCACTATTACAATATTCCTTTCTTTTAATTTCACACATATTGCCAACATTGTTCTTAATTTTTAAATATAAAGTCGGACTTTTATAAACACACGTCATTCTCGAAGTTAGTGGGAAAGGTGATATATGAACAGGAGAAAAATCAGACTAAAACATTCACCTTTCAAGACCAATATAAGCCTATGTTAAAGGTGGATGAGGGGTTCCATTTCAATTAAATATTTAAATTTTTACTTTATTTGTGTTCCTAACTCGGTAATCATTGTTGGTGACGAGGCCTCGTTTTTTAAATCTTCCATCCAACTGTCCGGGATAACAAATTAACAAGCTGATTTTATTTTTAATTTAATTTTAAATTAATTTATATATTACCCATCACAAAAATATCCAGCTTTAATGTAGAAATTGATGGAATAGACAGCCAAGTTTTCATAATTCGGGTTGCGCATACAATGATCTTGATGGTGGTAATGGATTGAGAAAGAGTCAGTTTCCATTGTTGTCAACTTGACTCTTCAATTTTTAAAAAGTATTTTAAATTTTTTTATAAATTATTTTCATACATTTCAGTCTTCAAAACATTATTTTCCACAAAATCAAAACCTTTTATCTTTATCAAAATTATTATTAAAATTGAAAAGAGTAAAGAAAAGCAGTTCATTTTAGTTTTTGATTAACAATTGAATTTATTTAAACTGAAAAAAAAATTAATTAAAATAATTAAAGATTTTCTGATAAATTCTAAATATTTAAGGCTTAATTTAATTTTTTAATGAAAATAACTTTAAATTAAATAATTTAAAAATGGCTGTTAATTGCTGATAAAATAGCCCTTTTTGTATACAATTTTATTCTAGAAAATTGATGATTAATTAAAAGTTATCTGATCAAATTATTTTAATTTTTATCGTCAAAATATGAATCATTTATTTACATATTTATTTAAATTAAATCCAAAAAATTATAAATTAATCTATTTGTGTGTGGTCAATGGAAATTGTTTGGGAATTTATTAGAAAAAAATTAAAATTACAGAATCAGCTTTTTACTAAATATTTTATGAATCATCCAAATATATTATAGTAAAATTATCCTTCTTTGGTTTAATATACATAATTTATTCGTCGAAAAAGGGGATTTAGAATTTTTTTAAGAAAAAATTTGTAGTGAATGAGAGGGACAAATCTGAGGAAAATGTTTAAATTAATTAATGGAAATCTTTGATTTTTATTTTATTTTTTTCTCTCTTCCATTTCATGAATCAAAGGCAGAGCTGCTTCGAAATTTTGATTTACGCAGATATTTTTTGTTTCGAAACGGCTTTAGACAAGGGACATCATACTAGAATTAAAAGGACACACACTTCTCCCAACACAAAAAATACAAGAAAGTAATGAAAATAACTGATTCTCTTTGCAGACTTTTAGTCCTTCAACCGACATTTACAGTTAGAATTTAATATTAATCATTCATATATTTATTTAAATTTAATCCAATATTTAAAAAAATACAAATTAATCTATGTGTGTGGTAATTGGAAATTGTTGGGAATTTTTTAGAAAAAATTTAAAATTACATAGAGCATCAACATCAATAAAAATACTAAAAATAAAATGATAAAATCGGTTTTTTAAAATAGATTTATGAGTCATCCAAATACTTTTTAGTAAAATTTAATAAATAAGAATTAATTTAACTCAGGGCTCGGATCGACAAAATGCCAATAAAAAGTACAAAAATCTTGATTTTAAAGTACATAGGGGCAAAATTTCCACATTTAAAGTACACTTAAAATTAAATTAGAAAATATTTATTCGTGCTCAAATCTTTTATATTTCTCTCTTAAATTAATCTTTTCTAATAATTTCTTGTTTCAACTTAGCATTTTATCAATTTCAATGCATCTTTTTTTTGGGCCGAAGGCGCCAAAAAATTTATTTTTTGCGCCGCAGGCGAAAATTTTGAGAATTTTGGAGGTCCTTAAGCCAGATTTCTTCCATTTTTTGCGCCGCAGGCGAAAATTTTGAGAATTTTGGAGGTCCTTAAGCCAGATTTCTTCCATTTTTTGCGCCGCAGGCGAAAATTTTGAGAATTTTGGAGGTCCTTAAGCCAGATTTCTTCCATTTTTTGCGCCGCAGGCGAAAATTTTGAGAATTTTGGAGGTCCTTAAGCCAGATTTCTTCCATTTTTTGCGCCGCAGGCGAAAATTTTGAGAATTTTGGAGGTCCTTAAGCCAGATTTCTTCCATTTTTTTCAAAATGTTGATTTTAAAGTACATACTTTCAATAAAGTACAAATTCAATTTCGTAAGTACGGAGGTCGATTTTAAAGTACTGTACTTTCAAATAAAGTACGAATCCGAGCCCTGATTTAACTACCTATAATTTTTTAAATAATTTTGTAAATAAAATTAAAAAAAGGTTATGCCCGAAGATACGGGGTGTCTTAGATAAGAAAAAAACTCGTTCTAAAAAACACGTTCCAGCATAAGTTTCTCGGAAATTTTTAAAGATAGTTTGTTTTCAAACATTAATATAGCAGGGGATTTGAGAATATCGTTGGTTTAAGGGATATAAATGTATTTGAAAATATAGGGATATAAGTAGAATCGAAGGAATATCGGCTGAGTTGGATGATTTAGAGGATATCGAGTGTTGCTGAAGGGTTAATGGTGATATCGGTTGATTTTATGGGATGATTTAAATAAAGGCAAAAATTTCGAATTTTGGAAGCCTTAGAAGTAGTGTTTAAACAGAACTCTATAGGAGTACGGGGTTCCAAACACAGTTAATTTGTAATTTTAAGTCTTTTAACTTAGTATATCACTTTAAAATTTATCAAAAATTAAAGACTTTTTTAAATAAATATTTATTTTCTTCAACAAATTATGAACATTATAGTTTTTAGTAAATTGCTTGAAAAATAACATGAATTTCTAAATTTAGTTTATATTTACTAGGGAAAAACTAATTATTCTAATGTAATACCTAAATAGTTAACAACAATTATTCCTAATTAAAGAAAATATTTTAAAAAGTTCCAAAAGAAATTTCAGAGGATTCAATTCCACATTCATCCACACCTCTAGCAATTTTGAAATATCCATTCATTCCCCAATCATAATTCCATTGGTTGGCACACAACCAATAATCCAAACTTGTTCCGTCTGGATAAGTGTCGGTACCCCAACCAATCATTCTAACGGCATGTCCGCCTACATAAACATCAGAAGTTTGCTAAATTTAACTTATAATTTTAAAAGGCAATTAAAGTAAATCCAAAATTTGCCTGATATACTCCTGAGGAATAATACATAAAATCATCGTAAACATCAAAAGCAGCTACAACAGAACCATTAGCCATTATTTCATTTTGAATGGCTGCTACATTACTTTGAATATAACCTGTTGTTTTAGCTAAATTTAAAAGAATATTTTGTTATTAAAATAATTAAAGACTAAACTATATTTTTTATCTTGGGTATAAGCAACATTCCAAGCACTAGATGTACATGAAGAGACACAGGACGGGGCAGTATATTCAGTTGTTCCATGTGGAGGGAATGGATATGGCTTACATCCACTGTTCCAAGTATAATTGGTTCCAGTAACAAGACCTTTAATTAAAAATCAGATGATATTTGATAATGGAATTTCTTTAGAAGGAGGTATGGCAGGTTTCGCCCGGCACCTACCTGGCACCTAAATGTTTGCATAACTTCCGCTATTATCTACAATTAGACATTGTTTTTAATGTTAAGATTGCATAACTTCTATTAGTCTCAGAGAATGAATGCTTAGTAGGGGTACCTCAGTAAGAATAATCAAAATACCTACCTGAATTCTGTGTATATTTCCATGCATAGTAAGGATCACCTCCACCACATCCAGACATACCCGGAGTACAACTCATCAACTCTAGTGCTGAGAAATAAACTGATGGATTTGTCTTTAAAGGTGCTGAATTCCCCTTCTTTACTTGACTAATACAATAACGATCAGTTAAAGCAGAGGCCGTGGAGACAGCCCAACAATCTCCACAACTTGATTGGTCCTTTTTGAAGGATTGTTTATTTATTTTATTAAGAATTTGTAATTACCTGAATCATTCCAACAATTCCAGCACAAGATGGAAATCCTGTACGAACATCAAAAGAAGCTGGAATTGAACGTTTACGGCGAAGATTTGTTTTTTCGGGAGTAGAGACTTGTTTTTTCGGAACTTTCAGTTTAGCCCCAAGCATCACTGAATGTTTCTCCAATTTAGCAAAGCGATGATGTAATTTTGCTATCCATTTCCCTTTATTTTTAGCGTTTGCCTTATCAACTATTTTTTGAGCTTTATCTAACTTTTCTTTTTCAGTCAGATTTGCTGAGGAGGATAAATAATAGATTTGGGCAAAAATAAGGAATAAAAAAATTATTTTCATTATTTCTTTGTAAGGGTTTGAATTTTATATTTTTATTAATCAGATAAGGAATTGTTATCTTTTACCGAAACTTGAATCCTTTTTATATTGAATTGAAGATACCCTTTATGTTTGAACAACTTTTAAAAGCTTATTAAAAATATTTTGGTTAGTTTGTTAATTTTTGAATATTATTGAAATTGACAAAAATATTTATCATTAAGTTGCACTTTTTGTTATTTAATAATAAATAATTTTGGGGTGAGAATAGTTAAAATTTAAATTGAAATAATAATTCATTAGAACCTAAATGCACTTTATAATTAAATCATGTAAATTCTGTCAAAAAAATATTTGAAACACCAAACATCTAACTTTTATTTTTTTTAATTATTAAAAGCTAAACAAACAAAAGAAGGCAAAACTAAAAATTTTTATTTCAAAATCTTTAAAAAATAAAAATAGATTAAAAAAATTTTTTTAATAAATCGACGGATGTTCTTGATTAGGTTCTTCTTCAGATCAAAATATCCTTAAAAGAAATTTGATTTTTTATAATAATTTTGAATAAAAATATTTTTAATTTGCCAAGGAATATATAATCTTTTAGTTATTTTTTTGAAAAGAAATAAGAATTAATTATATCAAATAAAGGAATTAGCTTATAAAAATAAGTTCAGATTTCACATCTCTACTTTATTTTTTAAAAGAATTCTTGCAATTTTGGTCGTC